GCACCCAAATGGGATCCTGGCACATGCAAGGCGAGGACTTAAGTTGCTAGGCTACCACACTGGGCCCAGTCTTCTACCTTTATTAAAAAAAAAGTTAATTCTACTGATTTTTAGGAGTACAAATCAGTTGTTTCATAGAATATCTTAGATTCTGAATAAAATTTCCTGATGATATCATTTATTTCTCTCCACCCTGTATTTATTGTAAACTGGATATGAGAAAAGAGTAGATCTTAAATAGGTTGATGAGTGATGATTTAGGCCTTATCAAGAAGCCATCATGTGAACCAGAACTTGCAAGAGGTAAAGAAGTAAGGCACACAGTAGAATAAAGCTGGCAAGGGTGCCATCATTGCAAAGGCCATGAGTATGAAAAAGCAGGAGCAAGTGGCTCCTGGAGAGTACCAGGAGATGAGGTCAGACGTTTAACAGGGAACCAGACTGTGTACGGCTTTGTAAATCGTTATAAGGATTCTGACTTTCATCTCAGTAAGACAGTAAGTTATTGGATGGTTTCCTACAGGGAACTAACATGCTGTGACTTGGGTTCAGCAGGATTGGTCTGGCTTCCTTCTGGACAACGGGTCACCAAAGTCAAGGAAGGAAGCAGTGAGACCCAGTCAGAAAGCTCCAGAAGTAATCCAGTTGCCAGGTGATTGTGGATTGGACCATGCACTTAACATGGAGGTGATAAGAGGCAATTGGATGCTGGATGCCTTTTGCAGGGAGAATGACAGGATTTGTTTACAGTTCCAGCTCTTTTGTGCCATAGCAACTGGAAATGTGAGAGTGCTATTGACTGAGACAGGGGACATGTTAGGAGGAAAAGCTGAGGTGCTCAGCTTTGGACTGTTGCATTTGACATGTGTGTCAGACCTCCATGTGGAGATGAACGCAGGCCCTTCCATCAAGGAGTTCCAAGTCAGAGAAATGAAAATATAGAAGCAGAGTGTTACAATAGCTGTCTGTCGGGGCAAGTTATCAACTTTGCTGTGTGTGTGTGTGTGTGTGTGTGTGAGGTAGGGTGGGGGTGGGATACTAAAGAAGGACCTATAAATAAAGGACAGGGTATTTTCAGTTTGCTCCTGAAAGGTGACAAGGTGTTCCTTAAGCAAAGGACAGGAGAATCTTGTTTTCTGTATTCTGGGGCCCTGGTATCCAGTGGTTGCTTCATCTGACCCAGCTCACTTGCTAATGGGGTAAGTTTGGACATTATTTAACTTATCTGTGACTCGGTTTCTTAATCTGTGAAATAGAGAGGACTGTTTTGTTGCAGGGAGCATTAAATGGAAACACACCTGGCACATTATTGCTGAATGAGTGAAACAATTTTTTTTTTTTTGACAGTCAAGTCAAGGCTAGGCTGTCAATCAGGGGCTTAAAGCACTTTGTCCAGCGCTTGCTACACTCTCTAAATACTCCAAGTGGCTCAAGGGGAAAAAAAGTCCCGACAGCCTGAGCCCTCTGAAGGGTTCTGATCGGAGACCAAGCATTAAATGGGGACGAATTGGTCTTCCTTTGCCCTCCCTCCTCTCCTGTTCCTTTCCTGTCTCCTCACCTCCCTCTCTCCACCCCTCCCTGCTTTCCTCCCTTCTTCATTTTGTAATGAGCCCGAGTAAAATCCGTCCAAATTCATAATAAGCATCTCCGTACTGCCAAAGGCTGTCTGTCACTCCGACTGGACTGGGTTGACAAGCCTGGGAAGAAGTCAGCAAACGCTGAGACGCTGTGACACTTCACAAGGGAATCCCCACCCAATGGCTAGGGCTCCAGCTCAGGGCCCCAGGGAGTCAGGCGCCCCCTACGGGCGGAAAGCAGCCTCACGCCCCTGCAGGCGGCTCTGGTTGCTAAGCGACCAGGCGGCCTGCCTTCGCCGAGTCTGAAGCGATGGAGGAGTTCCGTCAGGGATCTGAAAGGAGACCATTTCTCTCTGCTTCCATCGCCTCTCCCGCCGCCTTCAGTAAACAGCCGCGGCTGGGGCGGTGTGGCCCACTGCTGTCTTCATAGTGTGAATTCATTCTTAAAAATACAGCTTCCTGGGGGTAACCTCACTCTTTGTGTGCGGAGAAACGACCACTCTGTTGTGAAATGTGAGGCCACGCTTCTGGTCGGCAAGGGCGGAGGGGAGGGTCACTGTTGAAAGATGCGTCCTTAATCCACGAGATTTCTACCAAATTGCACATGGGTGAGAATGGTTTTGGTCATTACTCATGTAAGGTATCAAGATACTTCAGCATTCCCAACGTATGCATCAGGAAATTCCCACTTCCGCTCATTAGACGAAAAAAGTCCCACAGGAACAATATATAAGGGACCAGTCACACCTCACTGGCTTTCTTGAAATGCATTTTTCTACAGAGGAGGTCTGAGGACCCTTGGGAGGACAGAGCCCGGCACAGTGGGAGAGGGGATACACTGAGAATCCTGCAGCTTTCTAGTCCAGATCTCATTTGGGAGGACGCCAAGTGTGACCTTTCTGAAGCACCCCATCTTTATGAGGGTCTTGGAGGAAGGACCGGAAGCAGACATCCATCGCCTTTTCCTCCCAGCAACTAAGCATTTAAGGTCGGGGAGCAGCCGCAGGCAGGCCAAGGCCACAGTAACCTGTCCGCATGGAAGTCCTCTCTTTCCTCTCAGGTCACTGAACAGAGAGACTCCACCGCGGCAGAGTCTCAAGCCATGGCCAGCTTAGGGGACAGCTGTGGCCTGCAGTCTCCTCCCCGGGCTTTCCCTCAAGAGTTCCAAGGCAGCAATCACGGCAGCCAGAGAACGTCCGCCCAGTCACAGGCTCAGGTCCACAACATCCGCACAGGGCAGGGTGGCAGGGGCAGGCTCCCTGCTCTCTTTGCAAACTGAACTGGGTCGGGGCTGTGCCTCTGCTCTATTAATAGCCCCCTAACCCAGCCTGCTAGCCCCAAACCCGGATGCCAGGAGCTGTGAGTCAGCAGCTAAAAATAACGGAAAGCAACTGCACCCGAACCCCAATGAGCAGCTCCCCCTGGTCCTCCGCCCTCAAGTTTTTGTCAGTCTGTTTCCACTTCAGGGCCTCGTAGAGGTTAAGTGCGCTATAGCTTGCCAGTCCTGCTGGGAACACCACAGCAGTGGCAGGCTAGGAGTTGAGGACCCAAATCCTGGGGGCGGGGAGGGGGGGGGCGGAGGCGAGGCAGGGAGCCAGGCGCAGGGGCACCGGGGCTAGGGCTGGGACCTGAGTGCAGGCATCTGGGACGTTCAGCTTAAAAGACTGCAGCTGAGAGCTTGGGAACTGCAAGCTGAGGCTGCGGGGGTGGAGATGCCGGAGGTCGTGGGCGTGCGGTGGGAAGGGGAAGGACAGCCAAGGGTGCAGGGCTGCGAGGTGAGGCGACTTGAGCCGGGACAGAAAAGTAGGGATGGGGGAGGAGGTACGTTGCTGAGCGCTGGGAGCCCGGCAGTACCTTTTCAGGCTGGGGGGCCCAAGAGCTGAGGTTGGTAGTGGGTCTGACTGAGGGGGCGGGATCAGGAGACGGGAAAAGTAACACAAACGTAGCTCGAATAGGCGGCAGGTGGACACCTGCCCCAGGCAAGGCGCCGTGGACCCTCTAGAAGCCTAGCACCGGGGCAGAAGCCGCGCCGTTCGCTCCCCGGTGCGCCCCCGGCCTGTCCGCGCGTCGCCTGCCGGGCCAGCTGCAGGTCTGGTAGGTACGCTGGCGTGGAAGGCCGCCCGAGTGCGTGTGCTGCTGTTTGAGTGTGCCAGGGTGTGCGGGCGGGGGGCGGGGGCGACGCCGAAGGGGAAGGGGCGGTGTCCGCGAGGAGGAGGGGGCGGGAACACAAATTCAGACGCGTCTTGGTCGGCTCGAGACCGGAAATGCTCAGGGGCACCCTGGGGATTGTAGTTTCCATGGCTGCCCAGCATCGCGGGGTGGGGGGCGGTGAAGGGTCTTGTCCCGAGGTGGCAGTGTTGCCCCAGGTCCCAGTCTGGCGAGACAGGAGGAACGGAGAACCGAGCCTCTTGCCATTGCCAGCGCTTTAGTTCTACTTCCTTTGGTGTGGAGACAAGAAGCAGGATGAATGTCAGTGCACGGAGGATGCTGCGGGGTCAGTCACTGAACCCTCCTCCGGTCCCCATTTTTGCCTCAGCCATTCACCCCTTGCCACTCACCCTAGTCCGGCTGTGCACTGGCCACCTCCAGTGGTTAGTCCAGAGGCAAGTACCTAGCCGATACAAGTACCCTGGAGCAACTTGGGGCCTGGACGGTTGAGCCAAAATAGCCCCCGCGAGCAGCCCCAAGCAATGGAAACTCGTGGAACTCGGAACCGTGCCCTTTTTCACAGAACAGAGTCAAGGACAAAAGTCCCCGGTTGGTGTGGCTAAAAGGTGGCAATCTGCAAGGACGTCCCGGGGACAACGGGTGCGGCCTTCCTCTTGGGAGCAGGTGACCACAAGGTGGAGCTATAATGCAACCCGGCACAGGGAGCCTGGGCCGACGGCAACGCCCCCTCAGGAAGGCCACTATCCAGCTTGCTTCTGGCAGTCCTCCCCTGCCACGGGTGGTGGCCTCCCTTGTACCCCCGCCCCCATCTCTCTGTGATGACCCTTCAGGGTCAGGTCCCATCGAACTGAAGATGGCAGGTGCACCTTCTTTCCAGGCCCTGAATAGAAAAGATTAGATCATGACCAAATGGGAATTGAATTCATTGAAGAACAGATTAACACGCCTGATACAGGAGCCAACATGTCTGAAAGAAAAGGCTTGGCACAGCAAAAAGCCACCTGTAGGCACTGACTTGCAATGGCTCATTAGACTTTTTAGCTCCTTGCCTCTAGGCAGGAAAGTAGCTACACTGTTAAGGTGTGTGTGTCGGGGGGAATTGTGCAGCAAGGAAGGATGGGGTCTCCAACGCCCTATAGTTCTCCAGGAAAGACCATTCCATCATCTCCTTCCCTCACTGACCCCAGCTGACCCACCCCGACACACCCCGTCCCTTCTATACGAGAGAGCTTGCACGCAAACTCCGAGACAGTATCTTGACATACTACTCTCTTTTACTTCCTCATTCTGGCTGCGCGTTAGGAGAAACTGCTCATGACTCATACAGTCTTCCCAGCCACTTCAGGTCAGAACCCCAGAGGGAGCAGATGCCGTGGCAGCATGTGGGCATGCCCGCTCTTGGGGTGGAGAGACCTGATGGTGCTTCCAGTTCTCTTGTTGGCAAACACCCCCACCCTCGACCCAGTAGCTCCTGGATATAGTCCATGTCAGCCACTCTCTCTGCCTTGTTCATGAACAGTACACACAGGTCTCAGACTCCAGTAGGTGACAGCTGTGGGGACAGGCCATTCATTCCCTTGTGAGACTGTTGATTCCGGTGAGTAGCACCGCTGTTTCTAAGCCTGGGGAGAGAGGAGGGGCAGAGAGAGAGAGGCTGGTGGGCCACATGAAGAGCCAGCAAGCAGGAGGCTAACAGGAGGTGAGTTGGCATGGGGGTGTGGGAGTTCTCACCAGTTCTCTCTCTCTCCTTAGCACACCTCCTAGGGGGAAGAAAAGCTTCCTATCATGAGTTCAGCCAGCTTCAGGTAGCACCTTCTGACCCTGGGGCCCCCTCCAGCTACCTGCCCCGGGTCCTAAGGAAGTTGGTGGCTTAAGGAAGTGCCAGAGAATCTTGAAGGAACCAGGAAGCGGGCTGCAAGTGCTGGGCAGTGCGTCTGAGTCTGGATGGGCCTCACCAGAAGGGGAAGGAAAGGACTCGGAAGGCTCCGACAGCAGATACTTACACTTGGAAGTGGAAGATACATAAAAACAGCAGGATGGAGACGCAGTTCGTGATGGTCCACATCATTAGGTAGGTCTGAGGGGACTGTGGGAAGAGGGAAAGAACCCTGTTGCCCTGCTGGTGGCCAGGGCCCTAAGAGCTGTATATAGGGGGTGAGGGTAAAGGGGTTGGGAGGCTCAAATAGACAATGCCAGTAGGATTAGAGAGAAGGGGACTCAGGGAGGGGGAGAAGAGGAGCAGGGATGACTCCAGAGCCCTTACAATAAGCCAGACAGGGTAACGCATCTGCTGCAACAGCTGGCAGTCATTGGTGGTGACCGAATCCACCCCTGCACACCAGAGCAGGGAGAAGAGCCAGGCCTTGTTCACTACAAACAGGTTCACGGAGACGTTATCCTGGTGCAGGGCCCTGTGCAGGTGGGAAAGTCACAGGCATCATCCAGAATCACGGTGTGGGAGGCATGGGAGGCAGCTTCCCACATGCGCTCTCTGACGGTCACTGCTGAGGAGGCAGCACTTCTACCTTTGCCTAAGAAATCCCTGACCAAAAGAGGTTTCTTTGGCTTAGCTCAGCTCTAACTTCCAGTGCACTTCATGCACAGGTCCTGGCTTTGGTATCTGGGGTGACATGACTTGTTGTCTCTCCTCGGTCCTGTGACACTCCTGCAGGGGCCACGGCTCCCTGCATCTTTCCCGTCTCCAGCACCAGTCCCTTCCACTATTACTCTGCGGGCTGGGGTGATTATTTCCTTCCCTGGTAAAAATCTCTTCGATGTGATCTTCCTCTAACTTACCAGTGTTCCTAGGAGCCTATGGGGCCTCCCTCTGAACTGCAGAGTCCAGATAGGCCCGGACTGGCTTTGCATGGAACAATATCATTTCCTCCTACTTTCCAGACACTTAGGTCTTTAGGAAGGCGGACCAGTGTCAGGTTGGTCTTCAGTGATGTTATGTCCCCCTTGAGGAGTCGCTGTGCCTGTTGCTCTGTTGAAGCCATGCTTAGTTGTCATACCTGTTCCTGCTGATGCCACTGTCTCCTCTCTGGTCTTTGTACAAGTGAAATTCTTTTAGGCCTCAACTTCAAGTCTTTGCATCTCTATCTCTGTTTCGTTTGATCTTTTCGGAGCCTCTGTTCCACTACCAGTGTGTTTATTATCAATTCTCATCTTTCAGAAACAACAGCAGCAGCACCTCATTGATGAGGACAAGACCGAGGCAAGGGCTAAACTCGACGTCATGTCTCCCTCCACGAGGACAAATTGGAGAAAGGTCTATGAAATCCTTAGGGTACCTTGGCCGGTATTCAGCGCACATCTGACCCACACGGACATTGCCCGAGACCTCGGGCAGCACATGCTTTGAAGTGTAGCATGTTTACTGGTTCCCTTGGCTTCCTGCAGCCCGACTCCCACCTGGAACTCTCTCTCCATTGGGTCCGTCCTCTCTTACACACAGCTCTTTGGTGTCAAATAAAAACTGAAGGCTTTCTAGAAGATCCCATCTGATTAGATCCCTGTTTCCCTAGCTTTACCATTTCCTTGTTGACCAGGCTGCTTGTTGCTAGCTCCTTGTGACAATTTGGTACAGACATCAGCTCTTCAATTCTAGCACCTTCCCTGCCCACCATCCCGCCATCCCAGCCTCACACCCCCCACCCCCACTTCCAACCTCAAGCATGCTAGTTCATATCCCCATTTGGTCTTTGTAACATGTATCACTATCCAGTATATGAGAGATCTGCAGAAAATTCATGCAGGATACACATTATTTTTGTGCCAATGGGCACCAGTGTTATGGTGCAGCAAGTTAAAGCTGCTACTAGTAATGTCAGCATCCCATACCACAGTGCCAATTTAAGTCCCAGCTGCACTGCTTCCAATTCAGGTTTCTGCTAGTGACCGTGGGAAGGCAGTGGATGATGTCCCAAGCACTGGGCCCCTGCACCTATATGGGGGAACCACAAGGGATTACTTGCTCCTGGCTTTGGCCTGTCTCAGTCCTGGCTATTGAACCCATTTGGGCAGTTAAACCAGTGGCTGGGACAATGTCTCTCTGTGTCTCTCTTCCTCCTTCACTACCTCTCTCTTTCTTTCTGATGCTCTACCTTTTAAATAGATAGATAGATAGATAGATAGATAGATAGATAGATAGATAGATAGATAAATTTTTGTGCCAAAACCCAAATTTTCTTTTAATTCTATTTTCCATGAACTTTCTGAGTTATCATTCATTGTGTGTCTGTTTTGTGAGGTCTCTTTTCACTAACACATAACTTGTACAAATGCAGGGACCTTATTTATGTTGTGTCTTTAAAACCTGCAATGACTACTCCCTATTCCACAGCAAGAGTTCCATAAGCCTCCTCCGAGTGAGTGAGCAAGTGAAAAAAATGAATGCCCAGTTTTTGCTGTCCCCACCAGGGTTCCTCCCTGCCACTGAGCCCCACGTGCTGCCTCCCATCCTTTCCCTGAGCACTCACTTAATGTCCAAAAGTGGCAGATCTTGATAAGGAAGATTGAGATACTGGGGCTTCTCAGTGCCGTTGCCTCCTCCCCGGTGTCCATATATCTGGCGCATTCCGGGTGCCCGTTGTTGGACATTAGCCCGATCCTCATCTGGTAACCAAAGGACCTGGGGTTCGGGAATGGTGGGTGTGAGGCTAGAGAAGACTGAAGGACCCGGGGGTGGAGGATACGGATAGAAAAGGGGGTGGTGGGAGCTGGGACACAGCCCTAACATGTCATGATGGTAGCTAAGGGAGGGCAGGGTGGAGAGTGAGGCCCGGGGGTGGGGAGGGCGCCCTGGGAGCATCACCATGGCTTGGGGCACGCTTGCGCTCAGCACAGTGTCCAGGGTCTGATTGACGAATGTGTCATAGTATGTGTGATTCCGTGGGGGTCGGCGCAGGTCAAACATGATGGAGAGGTTGAGGGCCGCTGCTGCCTTCAATAGTTCTTGCAGTGCTGGCACGGTCTGGTTCTCAGCCTCTTTGCGGTCTGCACCGGACAGCTGCTTGGTGCCCCAAAATGGCTGCCTCTGGAAGATGGCAACACTATTTCAAGACCAGAGGTGAGGCCTCAAGGCAAACTTTGTGTTTAAAGCTCTTTAAAAAGTTTTGGGCCTGGCACAGTAGCTTAGTGGCTAAAGTCCTTGCCTTGCATGCACTGGGATCCCATATGGGATCATGTCCTGGCTGCTCCACTTCCCATCCAGCTTCCTGCTTGTGGCCTGGGAAAGCAGTGGAGGATGGCTCAAAGCTTTGGGACCCTGAACCCATGTAGGAGACCTGGAAGGAGCTCGTGGCTCCTGGCTTCAGATAAGCTCAGCTCTGGCCATTGTGCCAGATAGAAGATCTTTCTGTTTCTCCTTTTTGTCTGTAAATCTGACTTTCCAATAAAAACAAATAAATATTTTTAAAAAGTTCATGGCAGGGGTAGGCATAGCCCATCCAGCTCCCTTCTAATGGCGTGGGAAAACAGTGGAAGATGGTCCAAAGGCTTGGGACCCTGCACCTGCATCGGAGACTTGGAATAAGCTCCTAGAGTTGACTTGACCCGGTTCTGGCCGTAGTAGCCTTGTGGGGAGAGACCCAGTGGACAGAAGGTCTCTGTCTCTCCCCTGACCCCTGTAAGTCTGACTTTGAAATAAAATACTTTTTTTTTTTTAAATAAAAGCAACAAAAACTTTATGGCAAATAAAATGGAAACATTTTTCACACAGGATATACTTTTAAAGAAGTCCTGGGAGGAGCCATTATGAAAAAAGAAAATCAACTATGCCTAGATTTCAGTAAACATGGGTACCAGCACACACTCATCTTTGAATGTCATTTTTCCCACCAGGTTTTTGAAGTCACCTGTGTTCTTCCCTCTGCCTATGCCTCTTTTTTCCTTGCCCTGCCCATCTCTCGGGAAATGCTCATGTTATATGCTGCCCACGTATGCTCTCCATCCAGCAGCGACCATCAGTAAAGCAATGACTTCCCTGACTCCCGCTCTCCTTTCTGGCTGCAAAAAACATTTTAAAATGATGTTTAGCTTTTTCTATCTTAATTATCTCTGCCTGGGTTGTCTTCTTCACTAAGCGTATGTGTGTGGAGTGACTTGAAGGCAGACAGCACTCCCCTCACCCTGCCCAGACCCCAGTACAGGCTCGTCCATGGAATGAGTTTGGCCCTGCTGCTAAAGTACCTCCTGCCAGAAGCTGTCCTCACCTGTAGGAACCAGGCCCCAGCGTTGAGTCTCTGCAGTTCAGCCCAGGAGAAGTCACTGCTGTGGGCGGTGACTCGGCTTGGGAATACTGAGGCCACATCTGTGGTCCTGCTCAGGTGCTCGTCATGCATGAGGAAGGGGACTCCGTCGGAGCTGAGGGCACAAAGGGCGTCAGGGGCCAAGTGCAGTGCTGCTCATTTAGTCCTGTTTGTTCTTTATATTTCAAAGGCAGAGAAGGACAGAGACAAAGGCAGAGAGAGAGAGAGAGAGAGAGAGAGAGAGAGAGAGAGAGAGAGTCTCCCATTTGGTGGTTTATTTCTCAAACGCCCACAGCAGGCAGGACCAGGTCAAAGCTGGAGCCAGGAGCCAGGAAGTCTATCCAGGCTTCCCTCCTAGTGGGCAGAGACCCCCAACTCCTGACTGCCCCCCAGCTCCTGACTCATCAGCATTGCCTCCCAGGGGGCTCAACAACAGGAAGCTTGAGTCAGGAGCGGAGCTGCTTGTGGATCCCAGGCGCTCACTCTGACCAAGTATCACAAACCATTAGGCTAAAGCCAGCCACACCTGGGCATCTTGCACTGCACTCCCGTGCTGTGTCCCTCAGCCCTCAGCCCCGCAGCCTCTGTCACCTGACCATCACATCTGTCTCGAACACAGTAGCTCCACATTCTGCTGTCTTCCTCAGGGACATCAGAGTGTTCTCAGGGGCTAGCTGCGGAAAGAAATCAATAAGGTGACCCCCATGCTGGCCTGCTCCCAACCTCCTGCCCAACACTCACCATGGGGGCGCCTCGGTGTCCTATCAGTTCAGGTTTGCGGGGTAAGTCACTGGATTCCATGATGCAGGGGGAGGAGATGCATAGGGGTGCCAGATAGATGACCAGGGTGACCCCCAAAAACAGGAGCAGTAGCAAAATCTTGGGACCTGTGGAGTGATGGGGGGAAGGGAGGGGACAGGATTTGGGAAAGGGCAAAGTGTGTGTGTGTGTGGGAGGGGCAGAGTTGAGCTCAGACACATATGCAGGAAAGCAGGTAAGTTAAGAGAGACAGAGGCCTTGCAGTGGCCCGGGCAGAGTTGGCACCTCTTCGGTCCATGCGGTGGAAGGTATCAGCCACAGGCCAGGCCAGGAGGGTAATTCCAATGACTGCTCCAATGTGAAGGAATGGCGCTGTGGCCTGTGCACACAAGGGAGAGTGAGGAGGGCTCCTCTTCCCAATATTCTGGAGCTGACCCCAACACAGGGGCTTCGCCTAGGCCCTGGGGCTTGGCCACTCACCTGCAGGGACAGACGTAAGCTATGCCACTCCTGCCGCCACTGAATGTCCAGGCCCACAAGGCCAGCCACCACAAGAAACACGACGAGAAACAATAGCACCTGAGAGGGCAGGGAACAGCAAAGCCGGGGAAGGGGTTTTTGGTTGACGTGGTCGATTTGTGGATAGTGGGGGGAGGGGAAAGCCTTTTTCTTTTTTTCTTTTTAATCGACCCTTCCAACAATGCATCATTTTCCCCTTTGGATCTTGGGTCCGACTCCAGGCATAGAGAAGTGAGGTTCTGAGAGTGAAAGGCAGCCAAGGCTGGGGCCCAGGGACCCCCTCTCCCGCTCACCCCACCCCAACTCTACCTTGTGCATACAATGCAGGTGCAGGGGCTGTCCGCAGAGCTGCAGGAACAGGGCCAGGAGCTGGTGGGAGAAGGGGGAAGGGGGAGGGGACAGTGACAGGTGCTTCCCCGCCAGGCCCCTCCCTCCCACTCATCAGTGAGCTTCCCCGTCCCAGTGGCCAAGGGGGGAACAAGCGGGGAGGGGAGCGGGTGAAGTGGCAGTTAGCCCAGCAGCCCCTGGACGCACCAGTAGCAGGGACGCGTAAGTGGCCAGTAGAGAGATGACCAGCAGCAACACTAGGGACCAGTCTACCCAGTGTCCCCAATGGCGAAAGAGGAATCTGTGGGAAAGGAGGGGGGGGTTGTCCAAGTGGGGGAAGGGGTGTCTGATTAGTAATCCCTAGGGCACTTGGGTAGGTGAATCCTGGAGGACTACCAGGTGGAGGTGAGGGCAAGCTCTTGGTGATGTGTGTATGTGGAAGAGGCAAGGGACCCCCGGGGATTGGGAAAGTTTCCTGGAGGGTTTTCCTAAGGCGGCGGAGTAGTAAAAGAGCGGGGTTGGAGGGGCTGGGCAGGGCTGGGGGCTAGGCATCCAGGCTCCCTCTCCACAGCGCCCCTCCCCCCCACCCCAGGAGGGGCAGTGGGGAATAGTAGGTTGATACGTATGCTGAGGCACGGGTAGGGCAGGGGAGCTTGTGACACACTCATTGAAGTTGTGGAGGTCATTGAGAAGGATGAGCCCGATGTACAGCCAGCCCAGGGACAGGAGGAAGGTGAGGAAGAGCAGGCCAAACCACACGCAGTCGCACTATAAAGGGAGGAAGGAGAGAAGCTCAGGACCCAGCCTGGTGTCCTGCTCATAATTTCCCAAGGCTGGCAGTTCCAAGCTTCCTGCTACAGGAGGGGCTGCCCTGCTTGTGTATGTGTGTGTGTGTGGGGGGGGTGTCCCATTCCATGGGTGAGGGATGGGACACCCCATCCTGAGAAGAGAAAGCCCCTCTTCATCCCCCCTCCCCCGCCCACTGCCCCTGTGTCAGCTCCCTCTGAGCACAGGTGGCCTCCTTGTCCCCAGCAGCCTGTCTTAGGTTTTTCAGCCTCTCCCCACACACCACCACCCCCATCCCCACCCCACCTTGCTGGTTTGCATCCTCTCTTTGGGGCTTTTCTTCCAGTGGCAGCTATACAGGCAGTGGAGGCAGCGGGTCCAGGCAGAGCAGCAGCTGGGGGACTCGGCCATGATGAAGGCCTGGGGGAAGGGCCACTTTGACCGAAGGCAGACCTCAGCCTCCCTCCCAGTGTGTCTGAGGAGCCCAAGGGAGGGCCAGCCCGGGTGCTGCTCAGCAATGGAGGTGGCCCTGAGGGCCAAGACAGGATGAAGGGAACAGGGCTCATTATTTCTGGGTTCTTCCTTTACCTTTCTTCTCCGTACCTGGGGAGCGCGAGTGAGAGGGAAGCCCAGACCTGCAGCCTCTGTGCTGGCAGAAGGGATACCGGCTCTTTGCAGCTCCTCCCTACTTCCTGGACCTAGCCCTGGGGATGGGGTGCTTGTCCACGATAGGGAGCAGGAGGAATTGCCCTGGGCAGGAGCCGACTCTGCTCAGCCAGGCGGGGCTGAGCTGACGCAGCTGGAGCTTGCCCCTGTGTCCCTTGGCCTTCCAACCCAGGGAGAGCAGGAGTAACCTGAAGCAGAAGCTCCAGCTTTGACCTGGGGCTATGGGAGGCCCAGCTAGTTGGCCAGTTGCTATGGATACCGAGATTGCACAAATCACCAAGCCCTGACTGAAAGATTCTCGCTGTCCACTACCCAGAGGGCAGAGAGTGCTGTCAGCAAAGAGGAAGACTCCAGGGGCCAACAGGTGGCCTGGCTCATGCCCGGGAGCCTGTTTTTTAATGTGCACACCTGGAAAGCCAAAATCTTCTCCCCGCTGCTCCCAACTCCCTCCACCCCAGTCCTGTCTTTTCCTGCCTAGTCACTCCCCCCCAGCTAGAACCCCAGGCCCCGCCCTCCCTCTTCCAGGGGCCCCACCCTCAGAGTTAGCTTTGGTGAAAGTACAACACATGCAGGGCAAAGGTATGTGTGTGTGTGTGTGTCTGTGTGTGTGTGTGGGGGGGGGTGTGGTTGTCTTCGGACAGGGAATCCCTGGACCTTGTGCTGCTGGGGCTGGTGGAGAGACCCAGCTGATCTCCAGGCCGGCTGCTTGTGTGTAGTTGCCCATACTTGAGACAGCGGTGAGCGTCTGCTGGCAGCTGGCAGTGTGAATGGTTTGCTGCGTGACTGTGAGTATGTAAAGAGCCCTGTCTATACACTAAGTTTGTGTGTGTGTGTGTGTGTGTCCAGGGGATGGTCTGAGCTCTTCTGAGGCTGTGGAGTCCTAGTGAGGTGCATAGCACAAGGCGGAAGGGTTTGCGGTTCCTAGAACTGCCCTTTCTTACTCTACGCTTGCCTTGAGAAGGGAGGGTTGGGGTAGGGGTGAAGGAGTTAGGGGTAGCAACCCCAAGATCTGAGCATAGGAAACCTCTTCCCTTCCTGATACCCTTCCCAGAAAAAAAAAAAAAAGGAATAAAAAGAAAAAGGCAACCCAAAGGGAGGCCCCTGCCTCTGTCCTGCCCGGGACTGGATTACAGCAGCCTATTCTGAACCACAATCTGTACCACTTGTACTCCCTGACCCCAGCACCCCAGGGTCCTATCCCTGCACCGGAAACACTGCCTCTGAGTCCCACCTCCCTCCCTCGAGGAGCGGTGTGTAGAATGGGATCAGGAGCTGAGTAGCCTGAACCCCACCCCCCAAGGCAAGATTGGTGGGAAGGGGGGGCTGACAGGGGGTGCCGTTCACTCCCTGAGCCCAATCCCCACGGGGTGGAGCTGGCCTCTGGCCCACAGCTCCCGCCTGCAGACCCCAGCCTTCCCCGGCCCTCACACCTTTTCTCAGGCGCAGCAGCTCAGCTCTGCTCTCGGCTCTGCACTCCTTGCAGGATCCTCTGCGAGTTGTCTGCCTCCTCCCTCTTCCAGTTCTTGACTCAGTCACACCGGTCAAACAGGTGACACTGTTGCCACCTACAGGAGGATGTGCAGGTCCTGTGTGCAAGCCAGCCCCTGCTCCGTAGCCTGGGCCCAGCCCCGGCTGGGAAGCTGGGAGGTGTGTTACGGGGAGGGAAGAGGAAGGAGAGCAGATCTACTTCTTTACTTGCTGGCGGTCAGGGGGCTCAGGGTGAAGAATTCCTTTGTGCAGCCTTCCCCATCCCCTCGGTCCCCCCTCCTGCTTCCCTCCCAGTCACTGCTGGGGCTTTGTCCTGGCTCAGGGAGGCGAGGGCTGAGGGCACAGGCGGGCGGGGAAACTGGGGGGAGGTGACCACACAACTTTGCAACTTGGCAGGGAGGAGAAGGGGCCCTGCCAGCCCCCTGGAAAGGGGTGTGTGTGTGTGAGAGAGAGTGTCAGAGCAGTTTCCCGTCAGCTTTGATTCGGTAGCCTCCCTAACCCATTGGGCTCCCTCTAGCACCTCTAAGAGGTACACAGATGACAAGCTGAGTCTTGTGGCTCTTGGTGACACTAGTAGCCCCTGCCCCACCTGCTTCCTCAGCCCCTGCCGAGGTCTGCGTCCTCCCCGCTGCCTTGTCCACGAGGGGTGTGAGGTCTAACAGTCCTGGGGTGAGTGTACAGTGCGTTCGGGTGACAGGCTTTTGGAAAGTGCACCCACACTAAGTTGCCTGTTACTGTAGCCTCAGTAAGGAGAGGGCTGGAGGGTGAGCTGCGTGAGAGTCAGCTTAGCCTTCTGGCACGGGCGTGGGTCTGTGTGGGCTGGGGTCTGGGGCTGGTGTGACTGTGCTGCTGTATCTTTTCTGCTGCAGGGGACTAATGGGAAAGGGTCTTCTCTGGGGAGAAGCCTGGCTGCCCCTCCCCCCAGGCACGCCAGATTTCTAACAGTGAGAAGGAAGACTGGCTCTCTTATGCCAAGAGCCAGTCCCCCCGCCCCTCCGCCTTCCCATTGTATACAGGGGCTCTAGTTGGCAACAGCAGAGGCACCCTTGCTCCCTTGGAATGAAAAAGCACGGAGAAGCAGGGTTGCTGCTGGCAGGGGGCCAGGGAGGGCCAGCAGGTCACCTCATCCTCTGCAAGCTTCAGCTTTCTTTCCCTCTGCTTGGGCTCTGCGGGGGGTCTATAGCAGTTCTTGGGGGCGGGGAGGGGAGGGGGCCTGGGTTGGGAACTCTTCTGCAGAGGATGCTGGGACTCAGAAGGCACATGTGCTGAGACCCAGGGCTTCAGGGCTCTTCAGAAAGCTCCCCAGTCAGTGAGCAGCCTGTGTGGCATTGCAGGCATTGCAGCCTCCTGTCAGCTTTAAGTAGGAATGGAGAGCCCTGGTGCATAGTAAGGAGTAAGCCTCATGGCTCCTGTTTGCTTTCAGAGAAAGCAAGGAAGCAGTGCTGTTCTGTCCTGGGACTGAACAGCAGTGTGGTCCCAAGCCCAAGCAGGCTGAGAAGTCAGGCTGCCGGACCTCAGGAAGGGGGTAGTGCTGTCACTCCCATCACACACAAGTTCTAGGTCTCTTTGAGAGGCTATGGAAATTTAACTCCATACCCTGATCTCACGTGCACAACGGGGATGTGTGTAGTTGACTTTCATTTGCAGGGAGTGAGGGAAATCGTGGCAGGAACCTGGGGATGCTTGGGAAACGTGGTTTCTCCCCTCCACATCTGGAGGCCACAAGGATTCCACAGCGGAGGTCAGACCTCTCTCTGGTCTTGTGAACATTATTTGTTTGTTAAGGCAGCAAAGCAACAGAAAGATTAACACCATGCTCCACACTAGCGTCGGGAAACTGGGCAGTTTCAATAAAAAAGGCAGGAAGGGGTTGGTGTAGAGGGTTAAGCTGCTACCTGTGATGCCTGCTTAACATATGGACTCTGGTTCAACTCTTGGGCTATTCCACTTACAACCAGGCTCCCGATAATATACCTGGGGGAAACACTGAAGATGGCCCAAGGGTCTGGGTCCCTGCTTTCCACGTGGGAGACCTGGATGAATCTCCTGGCTCTTGGCTTTGGCCTGACTCAGCCCAGGCTATTGTAGCCACTTGTGGAGTGCCCACAGGTGGAAGTGTCTGTCCCTCTCTTTGTACCTCTTTCAAATAAACAAATACATCTTTTTAAAAGGCAGGGAAGGGGGGAACAGGTGCTTGCAGTGAACTGACAGCTGACCCAGGGCCGAGGAGCAGAGGTTGGCATTGGCCGTCTCTCCGGATAGCACAGAATGAAGGCTCTTCCCATACAGTAGGCGCACGAATGTTTATTTCTTTACTTAACGTTTAAAAATATTTCATTGACTTCAGTTAACACAGCAGACAATTGAGGGAACTAGTAAACATTTCAAATATAGGGTAGGGTAGGGCAGGAAAGATCCCAGGTCCATTCCTGCAGTGGGATAAAAGCCTGAGGCAGGTTTCTCCAGTGACCTGGGGCATCGTAGAGAGCAGAGCCCCAGGCTGCTGCCTGGCACAGGGCTTCCTTCTGCGCTCATAGACAGCGCTGCACCGTGCTGGGCGCTGGCTCCCAAGATGCCTTGTGTCAGGCGGGCTGGTCTCTCTTCGGCAGGTGGCGTGGCACCTTCCGGAGCAGGCTGATGAGTTCTTTGGGGCTGGAGATGGAGGTCGGAGCCAACACAAGTTCCCTTCCTTTCAGCACCACTCCGGCCCTTTGCCAGAGAGAAGCCTGAAACCCAGGGAAATCATTAAGTGGCAACGACAGCACCACCACCTCCACCACCGCGCACACACGCACACTTCCGGCTGCCTTGTGGAAGCATGTTGCGGGCCCCAGTGGTGGCCTTGGACTTCAGTGGGCCTCTTCTTCGATGGGGGAGTAGCCAGCAAAGAAGCTGGTGTTGCTGGCCAGAGTGCGCTTCTTTTTCTTGCCCGGAGCCTTATTTTCTTGGGGTTCTCTTGCTATGGATTTCTCCTCTGGGAGGTCGAAGGAGAAAACTGGAGCAGCTGTCTTTGCCAAGACCTGCTCCTCCTCACACATCTCCTTCATGATCTACAGAGGGTACAGACAGGTAAGAACACATCCTTAGGGCGGCTGCTTGGGCCAGCTGCGCCACCGTGAATGCTTAGCACTCTCTCAGCAGTTTGTGGTGTCCCCACTGATTGCTCTAGCCTGTGTGCCAGATTCCCAAATTCCCAGCAAGCTGATGGTATCTGTCTCTTCCACGCCCTGCCTGTTTCCCCCCCACCCTGCCCCGCAGCTGTCGCAGCTAATACAGATAAGGAGGCTCATACCTTGCTGTTAGGAGTGGCACAGACAGGGTTGAAGAAACTCAACCCCGGTGTCACCTCTGTGGGATCCTCCAGTCTGCAGGAGCCTTCAGAATCCCGGGTCCGCTCAACAGCAGCTGAGCTATCCTGAGGGTCAAGCACACAGGCATCTCATCAATAAGATCAGCCTGTGCAAGTTTTCAAGAGACCCTCATGGGCTGGGGATGGCAGCGGTTGCCAGGCTGTGTGCTTGAACCAGTGGAGCAATGCTTGGAGGCAGCCTCCAAAAGCAAAGGACTGGGTAGGATGGTGGCACAGGACACATCTGTGAGGCAACGTTTAGAGCAGAGCCAAGCCCTGCTGGTCTCATTGATTACCCTTCCTCTCACTACAAACTGCACATTTTTTGGTAGCTCTCTGCCCATCTTTTATTCTTTTCGGATACGGAAACTGAGTCAGGGAGAGGAGAGAAAGCGAAAGCAAAAAGTTGCTTAGATCACAAGGTAACTGCAGTAGAGCCCGTGTGAATATGTTTGCCTGCTGACATGGAGAGAGCAGGACTGACAGGCAGGAAGCCTGCGATGCTTGTGAGGTCCTGTGTATACTATCAATGGCAGTCACTCAAGTTTATCTCTGGGCCTTTGTTTTCCTTCTCTGTTAAATGGAAGCCCTGGACTAGCTCAGTGGTTTGCACACCTGAAATCCTCAGAGCAAGCTCAAGATAGGGAGTCCAAAAAGTTTACGGAAAGCTATGACAAACTATTCATGGACTGCAAAGATTTTTATGCTAGAATAAACTTTTTTAAAAGAATTCATTCTTTTCTAGAAGGAGCGGAAGAAGAAGGCAGAGGTGTCTGTGTGTGTGTGTGTGTGAGAGAGAATGAATATCTGTAACACACTGGTTTCATTCCAGATGGCCACAGGGCCAGTGCTGGGAGCCAGTAAATTTTTCCAAGTTTCCAGGTGGGTGCAGGGTCTCAAGGACTTGGGCCATCCTCTACTGCTTTACCAGGATATCAGCAGGGAGCTGGATCCAAAATGGAGCATCCAGGACATGAACCAGCGCCCAAAAGGGATGCGAGCATCTCAGGTTGCAGCTTTACCTGCTATGCCACAATGCCAGTCCCTTAAACATCTTTTAATTCCATTCTTCCAGGAGCTTTTTGAAGTGCTCGTATATATAAACAAGAGCAAGTTGCTTTGGCTGAAGGGGAGTAGAACCACCAACAGGCCTCAAGGATTCAAATAAGAAACCCCAGGAACAGAGCAGCCTTAGAGTCCCTGTTGCTTCTGTGATTCTCAGCCTCAGCTCTGGCTTGCTACTTTGGGCCGCTGGTGCTCATCTAACTTAGGTGTCTTTTTAATAGCAGACACAGGACAAAACTGTTCACATGTAACTGTTTCGGAAATGCAGGAGACCATGCTCACTGGGATTACCAGTCATCATCTGAGGAGCTGCAGGGCCAAACTTTGGCCCCGGGGGCAGAGGCTTGGTGCCTGGCACGGACAGGAATCTGATCTGTTTGGTGAAGCACTCCTCAGGGCACATTGTGCTGTTCCGGGTTCATTATTCCTGGGGGGATTATGAAGGGGGTCTTGGAAGAGTTCCTGGAAAATGTGATATGAAAAAAAAATGCACATGGATTTTAAAAAAATTGTTTTTTTTTTTTTTTTTTTGGCAGCACTGTGATACAGCCAGTTAAAGGTTGCATCTGTAATACCTGAATCCCACATGGGTGCCAGTTTGAGGCCTGGCTGTTTCAATTCTGATCCAGCTCCCTGCTAACGTACCTGGGGAAGCACGAGATGGCCCAAGTCCTTGGCCTGGACCCCTGCCACCCTTGTGGGAGACTCGGATGGAGTTCCCTGCCTCTTGGCTCTGACCTGGTCCAGCAGCCCTGGCTATTGTGGCCTTGTGGGGAGTGAACCACTGGATGGAAGGCTTCCTTCCTATCCCACCTCTGATCCCCACATCACTCTGCTTTTCCAATAAAGAAAAGTTTTTAGAACATCTTGTTTTGCCTGAACTTTTGGAAGTACCCTCAGATAAAGAAGACAGCTCTAGGTAACTGAGTCCGCAAGAGTGGCTGTCAGAGGGCCCTGGCTCCTGTGGATCTTTGCCAGGATCTGTGGAGTAGCTCATTCCTGTGGAGAGGGTCTAACAAATAATGCCTCAGGCAGCAGAAGGATTCACTTTCTTCCTGGAAGCTGCCACCTTAGCCCGTGGCTCTCACCAGAGTTCAGTCAAGGCCCCGGACTTGTTGGATCCCGCCAGTGTGCAGCCCTGTAGCTGCATGCTTTCGTTTGTCTTGTGGCTGCCACGGAAACTGCGGAGATCTCCCAGCCCGCGCTGGGGGCAGGGACGTGCACACCTCGGAAGCTTCCGGGAAGGCTGGTAGTGTCCAAAGGGGATTATGTGCACTTGTGGGGGTGGGGGCATGCAGGAGACTTCAGGTTTCCAGAGAGACACAGTACCCATCCTACCTTGTCTTGCTGGCGGTTCCGACACTTCGCAGGGTCACAGCTGCAGGTTACACCACAGTCTAACTTTTGCTTCCTGCACCCACACTGTCTGTTTCCACACCAGCCCTTGCAGGAACACTGTGAAACATATTCGCAGAAAAGCGCATTAGAAAAATCAGAAGACGACCTCAAGGCACGTTCCTTTCATTTTGTAAGGCTTGAGGAAAAAAAAATGGAAAATTCCATCATCTTTACCAAGCTTTGGTCTCCTTAATCCTCTTTTCTTCAGGTGAAGCAATGATTATCAAGAACCAGCACCGGTTTACCAAGAACAAATCATGCCAGTTAAATCCACTGGCTTTTGGGGAGAGTAGTATACTTGAAGGAGAGATGAGAGAAAAACTGCAATAAAGCAAGGCAGGAATGCCAAGTCTGAGGACAGTTTTATGGCCAAACTAAAGAACTTCAAGCTGGATGGTACTAGAGTTAGATCTATTTAAAGGCAGTAGAGTTGGGGTCAGCACTGTGGCACGTATGTGAAGTCATCATAAGTAAGCTACATCACCACGCTGGTTCTAGTCCCTGCTGCTCTGCCTCCAATCCAGCTTCCACACCTGGCAGGGCAGCAGAGGATGGTCCAAGTGCTTGGATCCCTGCTACCCATGTGGGAGATCTAGATGGATTTCTTGGCTCCAGCCTGTTGCAGCTGTTTGGGGAGTGGACCAGTGAATGGGAAATTTCTTTCTCTTTGACTGTTACCCCATCTTTTAAATAAATACATAGACAAATCCACTTAAAAAAAAAAAGCCAGTATAATTGCCTGTCATCTCTGTCATTATCCTTTCATCTGGCTCGCATTTCTACAGTAGGTCCGGTGTCAGCTAGGCTTTGTCCTCAGCACTTTAATCATTCAGCATTTTAATGAATCACTGATGATATGAAATGTAGTCATTTACATTTGAGAGCACTTTAATTTCCAGAGTACTTTCATGATTCTCATTGGAATTTCACCACCGGTCAACAAGGTGGGCACATTTATCAGTCTGAAGCACGGCGCTAAGCGGATAGGATGATTAACATGTAACAGAATCACAAAAACCAAAACTATGTCGATAGGCTGAACTGACGGGCTGAGGGTAGAAAGAAAAGAACAGGGAGAAATATAAGCTTGGTATTTGGGTTTTCCCTTAAATGAGACAGACATACAATATGGGAGGATGGGGAGAGATCTCGGCTTAACAGTAGTTTGTGGAAACGGGGCCTAGGGATTTGAGGTGTCAGCAAGTTTTGTGAGGCAAAAGAAATGGTTGTCAAGAAGAGAATGTAGTCAGGCAGAATATGGAGCTCGGGAAACTTGGGGAGCAATTATTTCACTACACCCTGGACCAATCAGATCTCATTTGGGACACAGGATCCTATTTTAGGGTACTATGTTTTTTTTTTTTCCCTCATGCATGAAAAAGGAAAGACAAATTAAAAGAAAAAAAAGCAGCCACTCATGTACCTGCTGTACTCTCCCCCCTCTCCCCACCCCATGGACTCCTAAGGCCAAGGCAGACAGGAGTCTCCCGTGTACCCACTTCCTGATCCTATTTGCCAACTTCCCTCCCAGGGAGAGGCTCCTGAGTTAGATGTTTATCATTCCTTCACAGGTCTTCTTTTTTTTTATCACATGCGTTTTGTTCAAAAGAAAATGAGGAACTGGGCCCAACACGGTGGCCTAGCGGCTAAAGTCCTCGCCTTGAACGCGCCAGGATCCCATATGGGCGCTGGTTCTAATCCTGGTGGCCCTGCTTTCCATCCAGCTCCCTGCTTGTGGCCTGGGAAAGCATAGCATCAGCCATTGCGCTCACTTGGGGAGTGAATCATCAGATGGAAGATCTTCCTCTCTGTCTCTCTTCCTCTCTGTCTATCTGACTTCCAAAAAAAAAAAAAAAAAAAAAAAAGAGGAACTGGCTTGCATATTTTCAAACCAATAATAAACGGTCTCTTATTGTTTATTGAGTCCATTCATTTTCTGTTTGCGCGCGTGTGTGCACGCATTTTGGGTCTTTCTTAATTTTATGGTATAATTCCATAGACAATTTTTCATTTGCACTCTAGGACCACACCACGATTTCTCTGTTCTCCTGATAGTGTCATTTTTCACTCGTTACAAACAAGGCTGCAATAGCGATAGCTATGTCGTAAGGGCTTTTGCTAAGGCAAATCTTGAATCAGGAAGGAGATTTTGTTGTGCACCTACCTCAGGGAGTTTGCTGTGTATATATTTAAAGATAAAAACAAAAAGGGGTGAGTGACCAAAATGATAGGAAACAAAACTAATATAAGAGAAATGGTGCAAAAAAAAAAAAAAAAAAAAAAAAAAAAAAAAGAAGGGATAGTTAGGCTTGGAAAAGATGTGGAGCTCACAGGATGAAGTGTTAAGGGTTTGGAGGGTCCTTGGCAACTATCTAAAACATGATTTGAGGTATGAAGCCCCTCTTGAATGTTTCTGGTCTAATTAGCCAGAGCGCTACATATTATGAGATGATGATAGTTCCTACAGAATTTCCAACTGCAGGAACTGATTCTGCCATCCAGAATGACATGGCATCACTTCATCCTCACTCTCACGCGTAATTTTGCTCCTGATCCCCCCCCAGTCCAAATCCTCTCAAAGCTAAATATACCTTGTTTCCTCCATGAGTCACCACATAACATGGTTTCCAAGCATCCTCATCACTGTAATGATACACCAGTTTGTTAAAGTTCATCTCTAATTGTGAGAGCCAGAAATGAGCACAACTTCCTCTGGGTAGTGTGACCGTTTGTGAAGTGGATGGGGACAAACACCCCATCTATTATGAATCCTAAGATCACAGTTGTCTTCCTCTTTGTGGATTCATACCAAGTTTACAATCAAATTTAACACTTTAACTCTTCTTCTTCTTCTAAGAATCATCACTTTTTTTTTTTTTCTGGTCTTGTGAAGATAGCATCTTTTTAAAAATTTTGATAACCTTTACATAGCTGATTAGGGCACACAGGGTCAAGGGTTAAGGAAAGTGGGTAAGTGCATCTTTTTTTTTTTTTCTGACTGTGATGACAACATGTTGATTTATAAAAAGTAGAAATCATAAATATGATTTTAATGATTGCACACATTATTTCACCATGTGGCTACACCACTTTTTAAAAAACACATTGTAGTGACTCCCCTTGTGTATAAATCTAATGTAAATTGTCCCATGGCTGACAAGGCCCTCCATGATCTGACCTCTGAGTATCCCTCTGACCTTACTGTATGCAATCCTCTCTCACTTCCTACACTGCAGACACAATGGCTATTTTAGCCGTTCCCCGAGACACACAGCCCATTCCTGTGCTAAGGTCTTTGTGTTTGCTGTTCCCCTTCTGTGAAATGACCTTCTGTGCCTATTCTGACTTTCTCCTTTGCTTTGTTATGTTTTCAGTGTAGATACCTCTTCCTCAGAGAGGTCTCTCTTCTGAGGTGCTCCTTCCTCATCCACACATTTTCTAGGATTTCACTGTATTTTCATTTCTTCCTCCATATCACCATCTAACAGTATTTTGTTTCTCAGGCTATTGTGCACTCTTCCCACAAGAATGTATTTCTTGACAGCAAGGGTCTTACTGTCCTGTTTATTATATTTTCAGCCCCTAGAAATAGTGCTTGGCATACAGGTGCTCAGAGAAGCTGGGCTCAATGAATAAACCTATTTACATATCAATATCTACTTCTTAACTATAAGTGCCCATGGATACAATTACTGGGTCAAAGGTCAGAAGCATTCTTAAGGCTTCTGATCTGTATTTTTCCTAGTTCCCTTCCCGGGGAAAGGTCTATTCATCTCTATTCCCAACTGCAGTAATGGGAATGTCCATCTTAGTCACCCTTGCCAATGCTAAATGCCAGAATTAAAGGATCTTTGCTGCTTTGAATAAATTGGGGCACAAGACAGAATTCCAGAAGAGCGTTCAATAGACACTGGACAACTGATTGTTGTGGCCTGGGTCTGGTCCTCTGACTGCTTACACATTTATCTAAAGGCTCTTACCTTGTTCACATTTCTTTGATCTAAAAGGATCATCACATCCTGAAAGTGTTATGGGAAAGGTTGTCACAAAGAAGGATTACATTTTTCATAGCCAAATCCAACCGGGATGAAATAGAGGACAGTCTATTTCAGCTCAGCAAAGAACAACTTTCTAATAGAATGGCCTGTCCTGTGAGAGGGTGACCTTCCTCCTCCAACGCTTCTAGCAAGCAGAGGCTAGATAAACACTGGCTAATGGCAGTACAGGATACACACAGCAGACTAGCTGCACGAATGCCACAGAATGTGTTAATTTCAATCGATTCTCTCTCGCACCAGGAAGCAGAACACAATGTTAAGAGAAGGGGACCAGTGTTGTGACAGAACAGATTTAAACTGCCACTTGCAATGTCAGCATCCCATTCGGGACTCTCGGCTGCTTCACTTTGGATCCAGCTCCCTGCTAATGTGCCTGGGAAATCAGCAGAAGATGGCCCAAGTGCTTGGGTCCCACAAGGGAGACCTGGCTGCAGTTTTAAGTTCCCAACTGTGGCCGGGCCTGACCCTGGCTGTTGTGGCTCTCTGGGGAATGAACTAGCAGTTACAGATATGTCTCTGTCTCTTTGCCTTTCCAATAAATAAATAAATAAACCCTAAAAAAATACACAGGGTATATGCATGAATATACCACAGCTGTTGGCAGCTCACTGGGGTGACCGGACACCACAGTTGAGAAGCAATGGAAGGATTCTTTATATAGAATGAAAAGCACAGCTGCAGCATCTCTGGGGTTCCCTTAAGCTTCTGGTTCTTAACCTTGGCAGCATGCAAGAAATCTCTGGGAAGCTTTTCAAAAGGGCCAGATATTACCTCAATTCAATTCAATTTAGAATATCTGGGGCTTCCTGCGTTTAAAAGCTCCCCTGGGGATCCCACTGCGGTGCTAAGGCTGAGAACTTCTGCTCTGGAGCCTGCACCTCTTCTAGCCTGAGTACACTGCTTTGTGTCTTTGCTTTTCCTTTTAAAGATTTATTTATTTTTATTGGAAAGGCAGATATGCAGAAAGGAGGAGAGACAGACAGGAAGATCTTCTGTCCGTTGATTCTCTCCCCAAGCGACTGCAACAGCTGGAGCTGAGCTGATCCAAAGCCAGGAGCTTCGTCCGGGTCTCCCATGTAGGTGCAGGGTCCCAAGGCTTTGGACTACCCTTGACTGCTTTTCCAGATCACAAGCAGGGAGCTGGATGGGAAGCAGGCTGCTGGGATTAGAACTGGTGTCCATATGGGATCCTGGAGCATTCAAGGTGAGGACTTTAACCGCTAGGCTATCGCACCAGGCCCCTGAGTTTATTGTTAACACTGTATCTCAGAAGGATAGATCTGGTCAAAACTATAACACAGCACATTAAGCTGCTGCCTGTGACACCAGCATCCCATGTTGGAGTGTTGGTTCAAGTCCCACCTGTTGTTTCTGATTCAGCTCTTTGCTAATGTGCCTAGGAAGGGTAGCAGACAGTGGCCTAATTGTTTGGGTCCCCTGCCACCTTTCAAATATTTATTTATTTGAACAGCAGAGTTACAGAGAGAGAGGAAAAAGACAGAAAGATCTTCCAGGTGCTAGTTCACTCCCCCAAATGGCCACAATGGCCAGGTCTGGGTGAGGTGAAACTAGGAGCCTGAAGCTTTATCAGGCTCTCCAATGTGGACTTAGGGTCCCAAGCACTTTGGCCACCTTCTGCTGTTCTCCCAAGCCATTGTCAGGGATCTGGATAAGTAGAGTAGCTGGGACTTGAACCAGAGGACATCTGGGATATTGGTACTGCAGGAGGTGAGTTAATCCATTGCCCCATAACACCTAAACAAACAAAAAACTCAGAAAACAGGGTAAGAACTGGGACACCTAGACCCTATTCCTATTAATACATGGCATGACCCAGGGCAAGTTATTTTACTAATTCTTTTTTTGTTTGTTTGTTTCTACCAAATTAGACAAATGGGAATATTTGTAAAATGCTGACAGTATTTTAGCAACAATATTTGAATGGTATTTTGTATGTATCCCTTCTTTTACGTTTCAGAGGGCATATAAGGCTGTGTATAAATATGCATCATAAAAGCATTTTGTACAATTTTAACTGGTTCTTTGACTCAGGATATTAATGATGGGAGAGATCTTATGTGAGGACCAGGAGACTTACTCCAAACCACCCAGTGAAACAGTGGCCAACTCTAAACCAGAACCCACGTCTATCTGGCTTCTAGGTCATTACCTTTTCTACTATAGCACGTGACCTATCCTTCAGCATCTCCATAACAAGCACGGGAAACATGACTGAGCAAAGAGCTATTCACTCGAACAATCTGCTGCGGTAACTTAAGCAATAATAATTAAGAAGGCTTTTATGCAAAGCATTCATGTCTACAGCTAATGTACCTGTGACCAGTCTGATCAAAAGACCTGTGCTAACACCCACACACTCTGACGTTGCCAAAAGGGAAAAACTAGACTTTATATGCCAGCTTGCTCCCCGTAAAGTCCAGTTAGACTCAGCTCGCACATTATAAAATCAGAAGAAATGTCGAGAAAAGAGTCATCTCTTACTGTTCTAGAAATTGGATTTATCACTGATAACACACACATAATTTCCGGCAATATTTGTTATACTTCCAAACTTCCCTTTTAACCTTAGGGCAACAGTGCTATAACAAATACGCTTTTCTCAAGGACATCGACACCCACATGTGCCTGACATTTGGAAACTCCTTTCTAGAGATTTTTAGGCCCTTTATCATTTGTTTTTCTGTGTGCTTCTTAACCCTGCCTCCAATTATTTGGCTGACCTTTTCATCTACATTCAGCTTGCATTCTCCACTTCAACCCTGGCAGGGTTTTGTCAAGGAAATGAGAGACCGACACGTTCTGTCCCATTTTCTTGAAGTATTCGAACCCTCTGTTCCTTTACTGTCTTCAAGTGTTTGCAGTATGCTATTCATCTGTGCCAGAAATGTTTTTCTAGTCACACTCAAGGCTGTATTTCCTTTCTCATCTCATGGGGCAGCAGCAGTTACCTCTGTTCTGGAATGTTCCTAAATGATATCTTCCTGGTTTGACAGTATAGGTGCTACTGAAAACTCCTTAGTCTATTTCCCTGAGATGTATATACTGAGGTTCTATTGTATGCTTCTATTCTTTGCTCTGTTTTCCTATTAGATTATGAGCTGTTGTGAGGCTGTGTAAGGCTAAAGATGAGGCCATGGTCCCACCGGAACACACCATGCACAACAGACTGGGTTCTGATGACTGACCCTGATGTCTTAGCTCCATAAGGTTGCCTTGGAAAAGGGTTTAAAAAGCTCATGTGGACAATGGGCATTATGAGAAAAAGAACTGTAGAGATTGAAAAAAAAAAATGCTTTGTACCTGAAATGATCTTTCCATTCTACCCTTCTGCACCTTAGGACTTGCCTGCTCTGGTGGTGTGGTTTTAGGAGGCTCAGTTCCCCATGGGGTGTGCTGTCAGCTAATCAAGTCAAGCAGGCATCTGCCAGGCAGGCTAAGGTAATTTGTGAAGTGTTTCCTGTAAGTGGAATGTGGCTGCAGGGCACAGCTAGGGTAGTGGTGGTGAACCATAGGACCTGGGAGGTTAATGTTTCAACATAACACATCAGCGTTTGAGAATTATGCAGGACTGCCATTGTTCAAGTAAACAAAGCATGCCTCCAAGTCAGTCCGTTCCTAACTAGCCTTAACTCTATGTGTTCGGTTTTCATTATTAGCTTTTTTCTGTAATTTCCTTTGCTCCTTTAGTTGAGTGACCAAAATCATTCTATTACAGGAGAAAGACAAAGTGGCCACTCAGTTTCTGGCATATAGTATTTACTGTCATGACCACCCTGCGGTAGGAACAGACTGGGGCTAGGGTCAGAACATTGATTTGTTTTCAAGTCCTGGCTGTCCTTTGGCTAGATGACCTTGGACAAAGTCATTTCCCTGCTGTGGGCCTGAAGTCCATTCTGGAAAGCAATAAACATCTCACTGGATTCTTGCTGATAACGGAAAGAGTTAACATGTGTGAGAATGTCTGAAAAATTGCTATAAAAAGCTGAAGGACTGCGAGGACCACTTTGGAATCAGCTTTCTATTCAGACTGGTAAGAAGCTGAAACCAGATGAGAAGTATGCGCACACAGGCAGCCCTTTCCAGAGCCCCAACCAGCTCCCGCAGATTGAACTTGATGCCTGTGACTCAGACGTGGGGGGTGTGGCCAGCGTGTTCCCAGCTTTCTTACTGGCAAAGAATGCTACGCATGAGACCCCTAGTGGAGCTGGTGCCTACCCCTTGGATGTTCTTCTTGGACATTTTAGTTAATTTTGTTGGCTTCCATTCTTCATCATCGGCATTGTCATCGTCGCCATCAGTGTCCTCAGGATCATTCAGAGAATACTCTGAATATTTGATATCCTCAATGTCCATGCTCTCCTCTGGGAACTTTTCTTTAATGCGAGAAGGTTTTGGCTAAGTAAAACAAGTTGGAATGGTTATTTAATAAGATTTTTAAGAAAATACATATGGCTTCCTATCTTCCCAGTAGCTGTCGCCAACTGTATTCTCAGAGCAGAGATTTTAAACGCCCTCGGATATACCCCTCTTGGCTTTACCAATGAGAAGAACTGTGCCTCAGCCTTTGACATCAGTCTTCGGAGGGCTAGAAGCTGGCAGCTCATCAATCGGACGCAGGAAGGGAGGATGCACGGTATAAGAGATAAGGATCTTTGGATGGACAGCTGAACATTATTTTCTCCTCCTCTACTTCCTCCTTAGCTGTGTTACGTAACGTCTTTGCATGACGCAAACTGAGTCCTCTGGGAGACGGGAGGAATGCCTATTTACCTTAGGATTCTACTCCAGTTTTATCTGAGACTCCCAGGAAAATCGAGATGTCAGAATTTCGGAAGTTTAACTCTCAACTCCTTAAAAATAAACCCTGCAGACTCAAACACTCACATGAAACCGGGACCATGCAAAGGCATCTCACAGGCACCGAACACTTTACCTTAGGTGGGATATATTCAAAAGATGAGTCTGGAGACAGAAATGAATCTCTAGGCAGAGGAGGTTTCTGTCTGCTGGCTACTTGGAGGAGGGTCAGCTTCTGTTTGAAAAGAAGAGACAACGTGTGTAAAATAAGGTAGCTCCTGGGGAGTGTTTGTGGCGAATACACCAACATTCCAGATTTAAGCTAACTCAATTTGAAACTATGGTCAAGTGAGGCAGGCTTATGGTAGAGGAGCTTGAAGGACCCTGACATTATAAGATCAGTATTAGATTTAGAAAAGGGCATGAGGGGCCAGTGTTGCAGCACAGCATATTAAGCCACGACCTGCAATGCCTGCATCCCACACAAATGCCTGTTTGTGTCCTGGCTACTCCATTTTTTATTTAGCTCCCCACTAATGTGCTGGCAAAAATGGAAGACAATGGCCCAAGTACTTGGACTTCGGCCACCCATGTGAACCTGGATGGAATTCTATGCTCCTGGCTTCAACACGGCCAGCTATTGCCAATGCAGTCCCATGGGGAGTGAACCAACTAATGGAAACGTGCTTTTTCACTCTCTCCTAACTCTGCTGTTCAAATACTATATATATACATATATAAAGAAAATGACATTAAGAACTTGTATTTGTACTACTTTGAGATTTACATGACTAGATCACATGGAAACTCACTAGAGATTTCATAAAATAGAGCTCAACCACCAAGCTGATGCAGCAACAGGCTCTTCCAAGGCTCGTGAAGTGGGTAGGAAACTGTATTACCTGCTTGATGAGTTCATTCTCACGGAGAAGCTGCTGATTTTGCTCACACAACTCTTGCATCTTCTTAAGTTCTTCATCCTATTTACAGATAGTGCAATGATAGGTGCGGTTATTTTGGGTATTACATGTGGGTTACCAAACAACTCACAAAGATGACAACATACTGCTGCCAAGTTGCTGGTAACAGATGGTTTTGGCACAGCAGGCATTGGCACCCAGAAAAAATGTCTTATTCCCAGTTTCTAGGTGCCCTGAATGTCACTTCTATTCCAACGCTGTCTGGCAGTCCTGGCCACACTCGTAGGGATCACGGCTCTGCCCTACCAGGGTAATTCTGTTCTCTAGCCTCACAGGTTCTCTTCACTTCAGGATTCTGGCTAGGAAGCCCAGAGTCAGCTCTGCTTCTTGTAGACTACAGATGCTTCTGTTGGCCCTTCTCAACATGGGCGAGACAGTGTATGTGCTATTCCAAGAAGCCTGAATAAACTTCCTGGCCCTTAAGATAACCGTATTCATGCATATGAAGGCACTTCAACAAGTTTGTGCCAAAACAGAATTAGAAGATAACGCCCATTTTTCTATAAACCTTTTTGAAGTGCTCTCATATAATCCAAACTAGTTTGGTTATGCCTTGGATGGGAAGTGCCAAGGAAACCCTACAGACTTGGGAAAAATGATTCCAAGTTGTACTAAAATAGTACTCAACATGCTACTAAAGGGTGTGGTGTTCCCACCCCCTGGAAGAGAGTCAGACCCCAGGCATTTTACCAACATGTCAGGTCTCAGCTCTGAGCAGGTTCAGGAAGACATGGGTGAATGCTCCTGGGAGTCTAAGATACTTTGGGATGACTTCACTTGCTCAGCTCTTAAGAGCTCAGGTTAGGGCAAGGAACCAGGAGGCCTCAAGGTCTGGTCTGAATGGGGTTCTGCTGTTTCCATTCCAAAAGCAGGTTTGGCTGATGTGTGGCTACACTCTGGGCACCCCTCGCCAGATCAAACAGGGCCAAAAGGCAGGAGAGGCACCCGCTGCAGTTCATTGCTCTCTGCTGCCAGGAAAACGGGTTAAATGAAGCAGGACGCCGGGTCAGGGGTGTGAAACCTTTCCCTTGTTCTCTTACCTGACACTTGAGTGTGCTCAGCAGCTGCTGCTCCTTGCCACTGGTGGACTCCTCTAGCTGCTTCTCGGCCACTTGGCTTTGCTGCAGCTGGCTGAGAAGGTAGAGCACCTGCGGAGAGACACCATCTGATGCATGGCCTCAAAGGAGGAAAGGGAATGTTGACTTCTTTCAAGCAGTGGCCCAGTGACTCCTCTGCGATTTGGGAGTCGAGTGCTCTGTCCCGGGGCTCTCAGGGCCTGAGGTAGTAGGCGCAGCAATGGCATTTCCCATTGTGTGCCTCCTGGCATCCAAGCTGGGTGCTGGCAGCTTTTCTTGGCTAGTATGTGTGAGCTCAGATAAATCATTTCTCTCTGGTTCTGGTTGGCTATTTGCAAAATTCGAAGATGAGCACATGGCCCTTCAAAGGAAACGTTATATGCCCCCACTACATTTTAACTAACCACAATCGGCACCGATTGTGGCTTTCTCAGGGTAGTGTGTCAGCTCGTCAGGCTACCTTCTCCTGATGCTGCTGCTCCACTCGCACCAGCTCAGCTTGTAACTCTGTCTCTATCTCAGCAAAATGGTTGCGCTCCTCAAACAGCATCTTCTGCATGTCTGTGCAGCTGGCCTTGCTCTGTTGCAGGCTGCTTTCAAGCTTGCTGACCTGTATTTTGGAGGAGACGAGCTGGAAAAGATACAAGATCAGTTTATTCGGAGAATGGCCACCTTTGCCAGCATTCATTAGGCACAAAAGGTCAGCTGTGCTGAAATGCTCTATGTGGAATTCTTCCACATCCAAGTCTGTTCATATTTTTTTCAAGTCGTTTGGATTCTAACATTGATTACCAAAAATATGACTGTTCTAGTCCCAGGCCAGGAGTCCAGGTTTCTGCTGAGAGATGTGTGTCTTAAGGCTAGAATCACCACTAAGGTCCTTTTATTTTTTGCTCAGCCTTAAGGCAATAAAAAACCTGACACAAACAGTAACTGACAAATCCAAATCCTGACATTTAAGAAGCTCTTACTTCATTTTAAAGAGAAATCCACAGGACACACCCTATGGCCAATTATGTCCTGTCTCGGAATGCCTGTTCTCACGTGTCAGAACTCGTAGACACACTAGCTGAGACTGCAGATCAGGTTCTTTAAGCTAGATTGATATCCTACACTGGCCTACTTTTACATCCACTCCGAGCTCAGATGGCGAACATCACAAATACCAATGTTCGCAAAACGAATCAGGATTTTCTTAGTAGAACATGTGTGCTCATCCCACACAAAAATATAGAAAGGCTAACATGCTCAAACTAGTAGATTCTTGAGTGAAAGAGCCTCCATCATCAGAAGTGATCAACTTTCGTCTCTCCTGTGACCATGACATATGTTATATTATTTGAAGGTCAGGGAAGATTTTTCCTTAAATGAATATTTATATGTGAAAACGTGCTTAGGTTTTCTCTTTTCTGGATCCTATGTCAAGCTTTCTCAATGTACAACTTACAGGTCTTAGAGGTATTTATAAAGAGTAGTACATATGCCAGCTTTTTTAAAGATTTATTTTTAATTTTTAAAAGGAAGATTTACAGAGTGAAGAGACAGTGAGAAAGTCTTCCTTCCACTGGTTCAATCTCCAACTGGCTGCAATGGCTAGAGGTGAACCAATCTAAAGTCAGGAGCCAGGAGCCTCTTCTGGGTCTCCCACATGGGCGCAGTGTCCCAAGGCTTTGGGTCATCCATCCTTTACTGCTTTCTCAGGCCACAAGCAGGGAGCTGGATGGGAACTGGAGCAGCTGGGACATGAACCACTGGCCATGCAGAACACTGGTGCATGGAAGGTGAGGATTTAGCCAGTAGGTCATTGCGCTAGGCCCACCAGCTTGTTTAACCAGTAGTCCACCATGGCATCCTGGTGCTTTCCTAATAGCTGTTAATATTAATCGGGTACTTCTTATGCATGAGGCACAAAAAGGTTTGTTTTTTTTTTTTTTAAGTGACTGGCATGCTATTGTTTCTATCAAGCTTTACCTCAGTGTATTCTCTGTAATGCTAGGTGACAATAAGCTGACAACAGAATTCCAAGCCCAATATCTTATTTGAAAGCTCCCTCACCAGACCCCACCCTGCTGGCAGGAAGAAGGATGTTTACCTCTGCGATTAAATATTTGAGGGCACACTTGGCTTCCAGAATGGTAGCAATATTTTCCCACCGTTGCTTTGGTCTATCTTCGCTTTCTGCATCCAGCAGCTTCTGCTGTAGGTCAGCAATCTGTGCACTCCTTAAGGGAGAGAAACGGTCAGCCCACTGTGGACAGCCCAAACACCAGCGAGAACGGCAGGGACCCCTCAAGAGCTATCAGGCAAACGTCTTTTGAGCAATGATTTAGAACTTTCTATAATATCTCAAATCCTGTTACAATGGAATGCCAAGAGATTACACAAGTTGTACTACTTTGTTAAGTGCAGGTAGAAATAAATGACTCATGGAGTGGGAATTGGGAAAATAATAGTAAGACTTGTGGTATAACAGATTGGTTGTAATTCAACTTTATCTTGACAGCCTAAGAGCCCAGACTGTGATGTAACCCACCCATGCAGGGTGAGATTTGGGTTGGAGACCTGAAGGAAAAAGCTCCAAAATAAAACAAACAGGTAGGTACACTATCTAAGCCAGAATCAAATATCAAATTGATAAGATTTTTTAGTTATTTGAAAGGGAGAGAAAGGGAGAGAGAGAGAGAGAGACAGTCAGCCTCCCATTTTGCTGGCTCGTTTTCCAAATGGCTGCAACAGCCAGGGCTGGAGCTAGGAGCTTCATCTGGGTCCCTCACATGGGTGCAGGGTGCAATCACTTGAGCCATCTTCTGCTGCTTTCTCAGGCACATTAGCAGGGAGCTGGTTGGAAGTGGAGGAGCTGGGACTTGAACTATATCCTATGTGGCAGCTTTACCCACTAAGGCACAATGCTGGCTCTCAGATCTAGACTTTCTAAGATTAGTGATGCGCTGACTGAAGTGATGGCTTAGAGATACTTTCAAATCAAGTATGGCCAAGGTGCATACATTATTTCCACTTCATTAACAGTCTCCTCAGATTTGTTCTGTGTCTGGTGAGACAATGCATACCAGCATATGATTAAACATGCAGTGCTATGTAAGTAAGGTGGGTACAAGACCAATCTTAAAGCAGTACTTTTCAATTTTAGGGATCTTAGGACCCATTTATGTTTTTAAAAATTATTGAGGATTCTGAAGCAATTTTGTTCACATATATTTCATCTATAGACATCAATATAATTAGAAGGCAAAACTAAGAAAAATTTTAAACAATTATTCACTTAAAAGTAATAAGCTCATTATATCAACATAATTTAATACTATCTTTTCTAAGACAAGAAACAATTTAGTGAGAAGAGTGGGATTATTTGACATTTTGGCAAATCTCTTTAAGGTATGATGATTTACTAGAAGACAGCTAGGTTCTCACATCTCTTTCTGCATTCAGTCTTTTGTGATTTATTGCTCAGGGTGACGTCAATTAAAACAGTCTGACCTTATGTGGATATATAATTAGAAAAGGAGGAGTATTTTAATAGCTTTTTTTTTTTTACATAATTATAGGCATTCCTGTTTAAGATGACACTGAAACTCAACAAGTGTTAGTTTCAGGGCCGGTACTGTGCTACAATTGCTACTTCTTGGAGTCCCTGCAGTGGTGTAGCACGTTAGCTGCTGCCTGCAATGTTTGCATCCTAAATGGCTTCCAGTTTGAGTCCTGGCTGCTCTACTTTTTTGTTTTTTAAAGATTTATTTATTTTTACTGGAAGAACAGATTTGCAGAGGGAAGAAAAGATAAAAAGATCTTCCATCCGCTGGTTCACTCCCCAAGTGGCTGCAATGGTCAGAGCTGAGCTGATCCAAAGCCAAGAGCCAGGAGCTTCTTCCAGGTCTGTCACACAGGTGCAGGGTCCCAAGGCTTTGGGCCATCTTTGACCGCTTCCCAGGCCACAAACAGGGAGCTGGATGGGAAGTGGGCCACCAGGACATAAACCTGTACCCATTATGGGATCCTGGCATATGCAACACAAGGATTTTAGCCAAACAGCCAGCAAATATGAGAAATGGTATCTCATACCTGGCACAAGAAGTAGACATCCTCAGGACATTCCCCACCCCCTTCCTAAGAGTCCCTGGGATGACACAGGGGACTATCTCTGTCCTTTGGTATTGATGTGATCTGGCAGCAAGGAGCGGCTTAACCTCTCTACCTCCCTGCCCCAGTGGCCATAGCAGCGAGGGCGGCGTCTTTTCCCTCATCCTCACGCTCCCGCCATCCCTTCCCATCCTACCCTACATGTGTCTGCAATCCCCTCAGCTATGTAACAAACATTTAAAATAAATAATTTAAATAAAAAACATTGTTGCTGTGACGCTGGAATCTGACATCAGAGAAATATTTCTAGATCTACCTTCTCTGATTCAGCTCAAGCTTCCTGCTTAAATGTGCTAGGAAGGCAATGGAAGATGGCCCTTAGGTGGCATTCTAGGCTTCTGGCTTTAACATGGCCCAGCCCCAGGCCTTGTAGCTATTTGGGGAGTGAGCCACTAGATGTACGATCTTTATCTCTTTTTCTCCCATTCAAATAACTAAATCCTCAGCAAAGTACTTTAGCTATCAACTGCTGCCTCCCAGTGTACATATTAGCAGGAAACTGGAATCAGAAGCAGGGCTGGGTCTCAAGGCCAGCACTGATACAGGGTGTGGGTGTTGTACACAATTTCTTTTCTTTCCTTGCCTCTTCCTACCTCTCCTTCCCCCCCCCCCAGACTTGTTCTATTTATCTGAATGGTACAGTTCAGAGAGAGTGGGAAACACAGAGAATGGAGAGATAGAGATCTTCCATCTGCTGGTCTACTCCCCAAATGCTGCAACAGCTGGGGCTGGACCACAATAAAGCCAGGTGTTTAGAATTCCATCAGGGTTTCCCATATGGGTGGCAGGGGTCCATGTCCCTGGGCCGTTTTTTGCTGTTTTCTCAGGAGTATCAGTACGGAGTGGAACATCTGGGACTCAAACAGGCACTTCTATGGGATGCTGGCATTGTAGATGGTTCTTAACCTGCTGTACCACAATGCCAGGCCCATATAGAATCGTTTTCTTAACTGCTGCACCAATTCCTGTCCCCAAACTTACGCTTTAATTTCCCATTTTTTTGATGCACCCTCATAGTGAAATCTATATATTGAGTTAATTTTTTATCTTTAAATTTCCAGGACATAAAATATCTCCAAGTGAATATGGGAGTGTGTGCTTAAAACACATATATGCATATATGGATTCAGTCTCAGAAACATCAGGAAAGGCCCGGCGTGATAGCCTAGTGGCTAAGGCTTGCCTTGCACCTGCCAGGATGGTTATTAAAGTGCTGGTTGTTAAGTCTTTACCTCCATACACGTACTGAGTAAATGGGTCAGCAATTTTGTCCGCCATTACTTTTGCACTGTAAGTGTAACTGCCAACATAGTAAAAACAAAAACCAAAAAAACCCGGAAAAGGTTAATTGTGAATTCATGTCTTACTTCTATTATGAAACTAGTTTTGATTGCATGCAATCCTGAAAGGGTATCAGAACTCCTTAAGAGTCTGCAGATCACACTTTGAGAACTCTAGTTGAATGTATAGCCCTTCCCTTCAATAAGGTTCCAAAATATCTATATATTTGTATTTATATATACAAAATTTGTACATGTAAAACAGAACATATACATGACATATACCATTTGCAGCATATAAAACTGAGTGTGTTCAGTTGTGAAAGGGCATACTAGAAAGGAAGATTAGTGAGACGGAGTCATCATCTAATCATATGCCACATTCCTTATTTATTCCAAAATTTCATTTAAGACTCATCAATTTCGTGAAAACTTGCCTGGTCAAACTCACCTCGTTCTAATTCCTTCTACTTGGCATGGTATGGAGGTAAATATTTAACAACCAGCATTTTAAATAGCCAGCTCTGATTTGCCAGTTGCTGTGGCAGAAACACCTCACCATAATTCACTGTAATATATCCGTTGTTTATAACAATCTTGAAATTTTCACAACTTCAGCCCTATCACTGTAAGTAATTAGTCTATTCCCATTTAAGAGCAAGTGTAATGCCATCTACTGTTTCTGTATGTCCTAATTGCATTCAACTCGGCACAAAGCAAGAAATGGAAGGTTACTTACAGATGTATGCCAATAGCTAAAATCAAATTAAGTTCCCTCTCTGGCTGAGCAATCAAACTCTATTGTCATAAGTTGGTATAAAATGTTAAGGCTCTGTTCTTTCTAGATTTCATTAACTGCTTAAAAGATAATAATAGTGATTAGAGAAGCTGTGTAGCATAATGTTTGGCCTTAAAGCCAGAAGGGGAGAGAGCGAGCACCTAGCAAATACTTCTCACAATGCCATGGACGATGCTATGCAATTGACTTATTAATCTCATTTATGCTCATGATAAGTTGACTCATACATCATGTGCATATGAGTATTACAGTATCTCAACGTGTTCCACGTTGCAGTTTACCGTGCTGTGCCACAACAAGCACCCCCACTATTGCTCTTCTATGATTACGTCTTGAGTTCCTCTAAAATTCTGTTCGTACGTTCTACATTTTGGAGATACTACTGAATCAAAAAATTGTGGCATGTGGTAGAAAGCAGGAGCTTGGGAATTAGATAGTGGAGTTTGAGTCTCAGTTCTGTGTTGCATAATTTCTTAAACCCTCGGAACTTCATTTCAGGTCTCTAAAAAGAACGATACTTCATTGGGTATCAGTGGGACTGAATAAGAGAATACATGTAACATGTCTACCAATGCAGTTTAAAAAAAAAAAAACAAAACTGCGGTTTCTCATATTGCAAAGCTACTGAAAAGCAAGCTTTCCAATCCTTGGATTATTAGGTTCTATTTTTATTCCAAGCATCAATTGGTATTGGCTCAGAGACAGTGCCTTTACCTGAGTTCCATTTCCGTCTCTAGGCTTTCAATCTGCTTCGTAATCGAATCGTCTGCCTCAGAACCTTGATCACGCACTTCAGCGAGTGAGAATGTGCGTCTCTGTAGAGAAGAGAACGAGGGTGAGGACCTACAAGGCAATACTCCTTCCCAGAGATGAGGATTCTGGGGGAAAGCAGAGTCTGCGGATTGCTAAGGCTTCTCCAGAGGGCACTTACTCGCAGTTTAGGAGGTGGATTCTCTCCTGATTCCTTTTTTTCTTTGAGTTGAGCCACATCCTGAGCCAGGATCTTTCTGTCCTCAAGAAGGTCATTCAGGTGGCGCTTGGCTTCCTCAGTACTGACCATAACCTCAATTTCATTTGCAAGCCAATTCTAGAAGAGAAATCAGCGTTGTCTGGTTTAGGGATGAGGAACCAATGGCATGATGGGCCAGATTTAGCTCCAAACTTCATTTTATTTGGAGCCAACTTACTAGAAATAAAATTTCCATTAGTTCCTATAATCACAAATGGGAATACCTCCTCTTTTTTTTTTTTAAAGATTTATTTATTTTTGTTGAAAAGGCATATACACAGAGAGGAGGAGAAACAGAGAGGAAGATCTTCTGTCTGATGGTTCACTCCCCAAGTGACTGCAATAGCTGGAGTTGAGCCAATCCGAAGCCAGGAGCCAGGAGCCAGGAGCCAGGAGCTCTTCCGGGTCTCTTGTGTGGGTGCAGGGTCCCAAGGCTATGGGCCGTCCTCAGCTGCTTTCCCAGGCCACAAGCAGGGAGCTGGATGGGAAGCGGGGCTGCTAGGATTAGAACCAGCGACCATATGGGATGCTGGGACATGCAAGGCAAGGACCTTAACTGCTACGCTATCGAGCTGAGCCCCAGGAATACCTCCTCTTTTAAAGCCTGCAGTAGCAGTGTCCAAAAAGGCCACAAAAGATTTTTCTCGAGAAAATTTTTCTCTAGACACCTTATAATTTCTACCTGTTCATATTTGTTTTCTTTAATTTCTCCTTAACATTGTCCTTTACTACTCAGGATATAAAACTGAATAGTTTTTATATATTCTATTTACTAGATATCCATTCATTCTTTTCTTTTAAAATGTTTATTTTTTTATTTACTTAAAAGAGGCACACAGAGAGAGTTCTTTCATCCACTAGTTCACTCCCCAAATATCTGCCACAGTAGGGCTAGGCTAGGCATGAATTCCATATGGGCACCAGTTCGTATCCTGGCTGTTTCACTTCCTATCCAGCTCCCTGCTTGTGGCTTGGGAAAGCAGTTCAGGATGGCCCAAAGCCTTGGGACCCTGTACTCACATGGGAGACCTGGAGGAGGCTCCTGGCTCTGGATTGGCTCAGTTCCAGCCATTGTGGCCATTTGGGGTGTGAATCAGTGGATGGATGATCTTTCTCTCTGTATATCTGCCTTTCCAATAAAAATAAATAAATCTTAACAGAAATGAGTAAACATAAGCAAGCAATCAAAAAGCTCTGCAGGGTAGGGGCAGCGTTGTGGCATAGTAGGTTGAGTTGCCCCTTACAGCACTGGCATCCCCTGTGAGAGCACAGGTTTGAGTCTCACCTACACCATTTATGACCCTGTTCTCTTTTAATACTTCTGGAAAAGCAAAAGAAGATAGCCCAAGTACTTGAGTCCCTGTCAGCCATGTGGGAGACCCAAATAGGAGCTCCAGGCTCCTGTTTTCGGCTCAGTCTAGTCCTGGCCACTGTGGCCATTTGGGGAGTACGTCAACAGACTGAAGATCTTTCTCGCTCACTTATCTCTTTGTCACCCTGCCTCACAAATAAGTAAATAAACCTCAAAAAAATTATTGGAAAAATTAGACTTTTTTGTTAAACAAACAAACAAAAACCCTCCTCTCCATAGGGCAATACGGCTTTATTGGTGAATTCTGTCTAACTTTTCAAGAGGAAACAAATGTAATTTTACAATTTTCCAGAAAACTGAACAGGAAGGACTGTATCTTGACTTCATTTATGATGTCAGCACTGTCTTGAGAGCAAAATTACAAACTACAGCCAGATATCCTACCTCGACACAGATGGCAACAGTTTTCTACAATTTGTTTTTATATGAGGCAGATTTTGAGAGATAGAAGAAGAGACAGAGAGTCATCTTTCACCTGTTGATCCACATGCAAATAGGTTGCAATAGCCAGAGCTGGGCAGGCCTGAAGCCTGGAAGCCAGGTTCCCCACATGGGCACAGAAGCCCAGGCACTTGGGACTTCTGCTGCTGCTTTCTCAGGCACATTAACAGGGAGCAGAATCAGAAGTGGAGCAGCCAGGTCTCAACTGCTGCCCATATGGGACGCTGGCACCACAGGTGGAGGCTTAGTTTACTATACCACAGCACCAACCCAAACATTTTAAACAAAATTTTTATTTTATGTACAGATGGTCCTTGACTTGTGATGGGGTTATTTCCAAGTCAATCCGCAGAATGCTAAAAATATCCTAAACCAGAAATAGATTTAGTGCACCTCACTCAACAAACACCAAAACTTAGTTGAATCTTCTTCAAGATGCTCAGAACTCTTGGACTAAAAAATCTAACATGAAGTGCATTTTATGTATGTATTTGATTTCTTTAAAAGGGATAGCTACAGAGAGAATGGGAGGGAAGGGGGGAAAGGGAGAAGGAGAGGGAGAGAGAGAGAGATCCTCCTCCATCCACTGATTTACTCCCCAAATGGCCCCAATGGCTGGAACAGGCTGAAGCCAGGAGCTTCTTCCTGGTCTCCTATAGGGGTGCAGAGACCCAAGAACTCAGGCCATCTTCTGCTGTTTTCCCAGGTGTACTGGAAGGGAGCTGGATTGGAACTGTAATAGCTTGGCCTCAAATGGGGGCCCACATGGGATGCTGGGATATCTGGTGGTGGCTTTACGTGCTATGCCACAATGCTGGTACCCAAAGTTCCTTTTATAATAAAGTATATACTATCACAGATGATTTATTGACTATTGTACTGAGAATGAAAATCAGCACAATTATTTGGGTACAGATAACCTAGATGGGTGCTGTGTAGATGTGATGGGATATGAAAACACAATATGCAATACACAAAAAGTTCCAGCAACACAGCACGCACTGTAGGGTACTGGTTTGCTTACCCTGCTTATGCCATGACAGGCTGGAGCTGCAGTCTGCTGCCACTGCCCGGGACCACAAGAGCATCATATAACATAATAACATCCCCCAAAAGATCAGAATCTAGAATTCAAAGTATGGTTTCTATTGGGCCTGTCCTTTTCACACCAATGTAAAGTTGAAAAACGGTTAAATCGAACCATCTTGAGTCAGACATTTTTTTTGTATTTTTGAATTCAACAATATATACCACAATCAGGTGGAGTTTATCCAAAAAATACAAGGCTGGCTGAAAGTAATTTATCACATCACCAGAAAGTCACTTGGCAACACTGGACAACCTTACATGACCAGCGACGACAGTAAACTGAGAATAAGTTAAGAATTTCCTCAACTTGATAAAGGGCAGTTATGAAATGCCCACAAATACCAGCACACACAATGAAAAGAGAGAACGTTTCCATTTAAGATTAGGAAGAAAAGGTACCTACTTTCAGCAATCCTGTTGCACATCATCCTGAGGGCAATGCAATAGGCCATGCTATAAAACTGCATGTACAGACAGCATGACTGCCCATGCAGAAAGCACACAAAGAATCAACGAAGAAGCCGGCAGACTAGTAAGGTCATATGAGCAAAGGTTAATAGGCAGGGAGTTGGTGCAGTAGTGTAAGAGTTAAACTACTGCCTGTGCTGCTGGCATCCTGTATCAATTCCAGGTTGAGTTGCAGCTGCTCCACTTCGAATCCAGTTCCCTAATTATGGCCTGGAAAAGTAGCAGAGGATGGCTCAAGTCTCCCATGTGGGAGACCCAGATGAAACTCCTGACTCCTGGTTTTGGTCTGGCCCAGCTCCAGCTGTTGTAGTCATTCGGAGAGTCAACCAACGGCTGGAAGATCTCTGTGTCATTTTCTCCATCTAACTCTTTCAAATAAAATAAATAAATCTTAAAAAAAAAGGTCAACTGTTTTTCACATACCAGCAATGGAGAACTGGACAATTTGGCAGTTTCTTATAAAGTTAAACCTACATTTATTGTATGACCAACAGCAGTCCCAGCCCTAGGTAGTTACTCCAGTAAAATGATTATCTTTTATTAAAAAAAAAAAAAAAGGCTGCTATGCATTTTATGGAGGGAGGTACGAAGTGCTTCAATGCATCAAGAATGTCTTACTTCCTCATTAGCATAGTGACTCATGTCAATGACATTTTCATAATGTAAAGTACAGTGTGTTAGACCTCAAAAAGGAAACTTCACAAAGTTTCCTGCAACCTAAGACACCGGAATGGTTCCTTAAGTTGTTTTTACCCATCATATTTATTCTAATAGTTCCAAGTGGTATCTAAGGGAATTAAAAAATTAAAAATATGGAACATTCCAAAAATTTGCATATCATCCTCGCTCAAGGAGGGGCCATCTTAATGTTATCTGCATCATTCCAATTTTAGCATATGTGCTGCCAAACCAAGCACTTACTTTTGTTTATATAGAAACTTGTATGCGAGTTTCTTAGAGCAGATTTAGCTACGTGATAGTCAATTTTAGGTGTCTGCTTGGTTAGATTAAAGAAGCTGGAGGCAGTTGGTGAAGCAGCATTTCTGAGTGTGTCTGTGAGGGTAATCCCAGGGGAGACTGGTGTGTAAATGTGAGAACAGAGTGAGAACGATCCATACTCCACATGGGTAAGAACCATCCTGGTACCCAGACAAGACAAAAATGTACAGGAAGGGATACTTTCCAAGTCTCCCCTGGAGATGAGAAAGTCTCCTGCTCTGAGGCACCAGCATGTTGGTCTCTCCGACTTTCAGATTCCAGAACTTAGAGCAGAGGCCCCACGCATTCTCTAGCCTTCAGACTGAAGGGGCCACGCTGCTGGCATTCCCAGGTTTCCAGCTTACACATGGTCTATCACGGGACCTCATAGCCTCAATAATCATGAGCCAGCATCCCTAACAAATTTCTTTCATACAAGACAGTTTCCAAAAGATTGTGAAAAATGTCTAATATGAAGAAAACTATGCGCAGTTTTCAATTATTTTTGTAGCAAAAACAATCTTGTCTTTTCAATTCTACTTTCCATAGTTTTTGTTGAGATACTATCCTATGCAACAATCCTATTGCTACTACTTCTTTCGAGAACCCTAATACTACTCACAGTTGTTAAAAGTTGGGAAAAAAAAAAATCCTGACCACATCCTTTAGTAGGTGACTAAGTTGTGGCAAATATACACAATAGATAACTGGCCTGCAAAAAAAGGGCACAGACTGTTAAAACACGATAACATGGACGCACACTGCCGATGCAAAGGGACAGGTGTAATGGCACAATACAGATCGGTGTTTGCCAAGGGACAGGGTTAAGTGAAGCATTCACTACAAAGAGGCGAGAGAGGGAGTGTTGGGGACAATAGAACTACTCTTATTAGAGCTATAGAAGAGAGAAATGTCTTCCATCCATTGACTCCCATCCCAGATGGCTGTAACAGCCAGGAATGGGCCAGACCGAGGCTGGGAGCCAGGAGCTTCTTCAGGGTCTCCTCTGTGGGTGGCAAGGGCTCAAGCACTTTGGGCCACCTTCTGCTGTTTTTCCCCCAAGCCATTAGCCGGAAGCTGGGATGGAAGTGGAGCAGCAGGGATACAAACTGGCACCCACATGAGATTCTGGTGTTCGAGGTGCTGGCTTAACAGCTATGCCATAAGGCAATAATGAACACTGTCATCACCTTGATTGTGTTGATGTCATGGATGCATACCCAATCCGTGTCAAAAGCCATCACGCTTTAAGTGTGTGTCATTTATTAAATGTTAATCCTACATCAATAAAACTGTTTAAAAAACGAAATGAAACTCAGTAAGAACAAGCGTAGCAAGAATTCTAATACTCCTTGTGTTTACCAACAGCGTTCTCATGTACGACTTCAGATCTTGCCACGTTAATTTCTAACCCAACAGAAAGCTACTTCTCCCTTTTTCTTTCCCCATCCTTTGTGAAAATCAAAGCAACGGCAGTTCACTGGGCTCATACCTTCACTCGAGCCGCGGTGCCTTCCATCCCACGGCTCTGAGTCTCCTTCCGCTTCTCCGCAACTTCCCGCTGTTTCTGGAGAGCATCCTTGAGACGCTTGTTGGCAGCAGCTGCCTAAATAAAGATGGTAAAGAGTTGAGCAAAGGCTGAAAATGAAGAACATTTTAATTTAGAGCCATTAGAATAGTAAGAGAAAAATTCTCTGGGTTTGACATCTATATGAACTACATTTATAAACCTCCATGGCTATAATATTGGTGAATAGTGACTGCTTTAGGGCCTATGGGAGGAATGTATTTCAAGCTAGTTCTGTCAATGAAAAATGTCAGGAAATGTCCATACATCAATGTTACTCTGGGTTTCTGTTGAAATAATCAAGCTCAATTAAGACAAAACAAAAACTGTGCCCGGTGCAATAGCATAGTGGTTCAGTCCTCGCCTTGAACGCGCAGGGATCCCATATGGGCGCCAGTTCTAATCCTGGCAGCCCTGTTTCCCATCTAGCTCCCTGCTTGAGGCCTGGGAAAGCAGTTGAGGACAGCCCACAGCCTTGGGACCCTGCGCCCACATAGGAGACTGGGAAGAGCTCCTGGCTCCTGGCTTCAGATCAGCTCAGTTCTAGCCGTTGCGGCCACTTGGGGAGTGAATTATCGGACGGAAGATCTTCCTCTCTGTTTCTCCTCCTCTCTGTATATCTCACTTTCCAACACAAATACATAAATTTTTTTAAGATTTATTTTATTTTTATTGGAAAGGCGGATATACAGAGAGGAGAGACAGAGAGGAAGATCTTCCGTCCAATGATTCACTCCCCAAGTGAGCGCAACAGCCGATACTATGCCGATCCGAAGCCAGGAGCCTCTTCCGGGTCTCCCACACAGGTGCAGGGTCCCAAGGCTTTGGGCCGTCCTCAACTGCTTTCCCAGGCCACAAGCAGGGAGCTGGATGGGAAGCGGGGCTGCCGGGATTAGAACCAGCGTCCATATGGGATCCCAGCGCGTTCAAGGCAAGGACTTTAGTCACTAGGCTACCACAGAGGGCCCTAGTATCAAGTTTTTATCTGCCCACAGTTAATAACATAAACAGTAATCAAGATTTAGGAATTATTGATCAATATCAGTATCCCTGGTATCTTCAGATGATGGTTCATTTAAATGATATTTTGCTGACATCTGGCTAAAAAAACAACAGTTTACTTTGTATACTTAGTAGATTAGATTTTCTTACCTCCTCCGTTTTACGTCTGAGTACATTAGCCTGTTTCTGGAAGTTTCTTTCAAGTTTGAGCAGCTCATATTGTCTCTTACGGTCCTAGCAATAAAAAAAGTCAAATTTTAATTATTGTTCATTTAGCCAAAATAAAATTGCATGATATAATTAGTCTTTTCAAACACCCCTGTTACATAAGACTAAAGACAACAGAATAATCTACCTTTATCTTCTGAAATTAGTCTAAATCTGAGGTTCAGAAATCATGGTTTAAGAATGGAATGCCTGTATCATATATTTCCTCTATGTTTACTTAATATTTTAAAGAATTTAATTCCTTTTCCAAGGAAGCATCACTATCTTCTCATCCCACCACCAAAGGACTAAGTTTGCAATATCTCTAAACTTTTGCCAACATTGCATTTTGGCAGCCATCCAGTTGTAAATAACATTGAACATCTTTTCATGATATCATCAGTCACTCATCTAAAACCTTTTTCTTTTTACTGTATTATAGGTTCTTCATACTAAGTATATTCTATATGCAACATGTATATCGGCTATATCATTTGTAAATATTTTCTCCCACTCTGTGGGTTGAATATTCATACTTTCTTTATTGTAGAGTTTATAATTTTGCCTTATTTTTGACTGCCTGTGCTTTAGGTTTGACAATAATAAAAACTTGCCCTGGATCAAAATCACAAGAATTAACACACTTTCCTGTAATAGATTTATGGCTTTAATTTTTACATTCAGGGCTTTGATCTAAGAGTTAATGGTTGTGTGTGATATGAGGCAACTCTAACTTCATTATCTTGCATGTGACCATTGCTTCAGTACCGTAAGTTGAAATGTACTTCATTTTCAGAATACAAAACCTGCCCATTCATGAACATGAGATGTCTTTCCGTTTAGATTTTAATTAATTCAATGTTCTGTAGTTTTCAGCACACCAGTCATACATCTTTGGATAAGTTTATTCTTTTTTTTTTTAAATTAATGTTATTTTTTTAATTGGAAAGGCAGATGTACAGAGAGAAGGAGATACAGAGAGAAAGCTCTTCTGTTTGCTGGTTCACTACCCAAGTGGCCACAATGGCCAGAGCTGAGCTGATTTGAAGGCAGGAGCTTCCTCCGGGTGCCCCACCTTTCCCAGGCCATAAGCAGGGAGCTGCAATGGACACGAACCAGCATCCATATGAGATCCCAGTGGATGCAAGGAGAGGATTTAGCCTCTAGGCTATCATGCCAGGATCTGGCTAAGTGTATTCTCAAGCAATTTATTTATATCAATGCTATCCTGAATGAAATTGTTTTCTTAATTTCAGTTTCAAGTTATTAATGTCTAGTTTATGGAAATACAATGGATTTTTAAAAAACACTTCAATGACAGTGAACTTCTTTGTGTAAAGATTTATTTTTTTAAAGACTTTATTATTTTTATTCGAAAGGCAGATATAGAAAGGAGAAGAGACCGAGAAGAAGATCTTCTGTCTGATGATTCACTCCCCAAGTGGCCACAATGGCTGCAGCTGAGCCAATCTGAAGTCAGGAGCCAGGAGCCTTTTCCAGGTCTCCTATGCAGGTGGAGGGTCCCAACACTTTCCCAGGCCACAAGCAGGGAGCTGGATGGGAAGCGGGGCTGCCAGGATTAGAACCAGCACCCATATGGGATCCCAGTGCGCTCAAGGAGAGGACTTCGGCCACCAGGCCACAGCACCGGGTCCAGGGTCTCTCTCTCTCTTTTTTTGTCTCTACAGATCTTTCAAATAAAAAAAAAATCTTTAAAAAATTATTTGAAAATCGTACATACAGAAAGCAACACACACACACACACCTCTTCCATTTGCTGTTTCACTCCCCAGATGGTTGCAGCACCAGGGCTGCACCAGGCTATAGCCAGAAACCTCATTTGAGTCTCCCACATGTGTGGCAAGAGTCCACCTTCTGATTCCAGGTCATTAGCAAGGAACTGGATTGGCAGTGGAACAGCTGGGAAATGAATCAGCCCCAAAGGGGATGCCAGTGCAACAGGTGGTAGCTCTATCAGTTTTGTCACAATACTGGCCCATGTATTATCCTTTTATATTTTGCTGGATTCATTTTGCGAGTATTTTGTTGATGAAATTCATACATATTTTCCTGAGAGATACTGGTAAATAGGTTTTTTCCTTGTGCATTTTGGGGGAGAGGGGGTCTGGTTTTGGTGTCAGAATGAGCTGTAATATGTTTTCTCTGCTTTTATTATTTTTTTTTCAAGAGCTGCTGAAAAAACTAGCATTTGTTCTGTATATGTCTGACAGAATTCACCAGTGAAAACATTTGAGCCCGAGTTTTTCATTGCTGGAAAACACCTAATTGAATTTCTCATTTTAAGTCTACAAAGATTTTCTATTGCTTCTTGAGTTCGGTTTGTCTTTTCAGGACTTTGTCTATTTCATCTATGCTGTTTAATTTGCTGGCATACAGTTGTCCACAGCTGTGCTTCTACAAGGCTGGTAGTGATGTTCCTTCTTCATTTGTAACTTTGCCATTCTTTTTGCTCTTGTTAAGTTGATCTATGTGTTTGTCAGCAATTGGTCTTCATTTCCAAGGAAAAACTTTTGCATTCACCGATTTTGTCTATTGTATTACTATTCTCTATTTTATTAAGTTTCAACCTCATCATCTAACATTTCCTGATAGCTTTGGGTCGCCTAATGTGAAAGGTTGGGTTGTTGATTTGAGGCCTTTTTTCATTTTTAACATATGCATTTGTAAGTATAAAATTCCTTCTAGGGGTCAGCATTGTGGCACAGAAGGATAAGCCATCTATTGCAATGCTGGCATCCCATATAAATGCTGGTTCAAGTCATGGCTTCTCTGCTTCCTTTCCAGCTTGCTGTTAATGTACCTAGCAAAGCAGCAGAAAATAACCTGAGTACTTTAGCCCCTGATACCCATGTGGGAGATCTGCATGGGGTTCCTGCTGTTGCGAGCATCTGGGAGTGAAGCAGTGGACTGAAGATTTCACTGCCTCACTTTCTCTCAGAGAAACTCTGCTTTATTTCAAATAAAAATACATAAATATATGTAGAATAACTGGAACAAAAGTTAAAGATTCCCTCTAGGCACATCTTATCTGTATTCATGTTCTGCCTTTTTTTTTTTTTTAAACCTATTCATATTTCTTTGTAAGGCAGAGTGAAAGTGAGAATCTTCTGGGCCCAGTACAATGGCTCAGTGGCCTAATACTTACCTTGTAAGTACTGGGATCCCATATGGGCTCCGGTTCATGTTCTGGCTGCTCCACTTCCCTTTTAGCTCCCTGCCTGTGGCCTGGGAAAGCAGTCAAGGAGTGCCCAAAGCCTTGGGACCAAGCTCCCCTGTGGAAGACCTGGAAGAAACTCCTGGCTCCTGGCTTTGGATCAGCTCAGTTCTGGCCACTGTGACCACTTGGGAGTGAACCAACAGTTGGGAGATCTTTTTTTCTGTTTCTCCTTCTCTCTATAAACATGCCTTTCCAACAAAATAAATATTAAAAGAGAGAGAGAGAGAACATTCCATCTGTTGAATCATTTCTCAGAGTAAAAGCTAGAACTGAGACAGCTGAAGCTAGGAGTCAGAAACTCCCTCTTGGTCTCCCACATGGGTAGCAGGAACAAGTACTTGAGCCATCATTGGTTGTTTTTCAGATTGTGCATCAGCAGGAAGTTACACCAGAATTGGCAGCAGGACTTGATTTTAGGCACTTCCGACACTGGACTCGTGCATATCCCAGGTGGTTGCTTAACTGCTTCACCCACACCTGCCTGTCCCTATGTCCCAACTTTTATTCATTTCCAAGTATTTCCTAACTGCTCTGTGACTTCTTTGACACCAGCATTTACTTAGAGATATGCTTGCTACCTTTTTCATATTTCAAAATTTCTTTCTGCTATTGATTAAATTCCAGTGTGGTCGGGGAATAGATTCTGTACTGTTTTAATCTGTTTCAACTTTGAGGCATAAGTTCTACCCTGGATAATACATATTTTGGTATTAGCTGAAGTGTTTTATAGGTATCTGTTAGGTCTTGATTATAGCCAATTGTGGTGTAACAACTACAGACTCCTATCACTTAAGAACAGGGATGAGAAAATCTTATAGTATTGTTGATGTCTTTTTGATCCTCGTAGTTTGATCCAGTGTTGAAAGTGGGACATTGAAATCTCCTGATCCCAAATATAGTGTTGATTTGTCCATTTATCCCTTAACTTCTGCCAGTATTTGCTTCACATAAATCGGGAATATGCTGTTTGGTATACATTGGACTTCCAAAAGATTGTGGGAAGGGCACAGCAGTTAAGTTGCATTTTAGCATACTTGCATCGCATATCAGAGTCCATCAATTTGAGTCCTGGCTCTACTTCTGATCCGGCTTCCTACTACTGTACACTCTGGGAGGCAGTAGGTGACAGCTCAAGTACTTAGCTTACTGTCATCCATGTGAGAAACTTGGATTGAGTTCCTGGTGCTTCGTTAAGTCCCAGTTATTGTGGGCATTTTGGGTAATGAACCAGCAGATGGAAAATCTCTCCCTCAGTGAAACATATAATAAAAGGCAAAAAAGTTCATAATGTCTTTTACTTCCATTTCCTTATGAACTTCATAAATAAATATATAAGTATGAAATATATATATAAATATATATTTATGAAATATATAGAATTATATACCACTTAAAGAATGTTTCAGTCAATGATGGACCACGAACACGATGGTGGCTTAATGATTATGATGGAACAGAACAATTCTTATCACTTACAGATGTGACAGCCATCATCACGTTGGTGTGCAGTACGTTACCAATGTGCTTGAGGTCATGATGGTGTAAACCAACTTTAACTTAGTATGCTTCCAGCTGTATAAAAGTACAGCACCTACAATTACGTATAGCACAAAGTAACAGATGACTATGCTACCGGTTATGTATGTGTAACACTTTCTTTTTTAAAGTTTGTTTTCATATACTTGATAACTTCAGAAATGTTTCATTCATTGATTCACTTCCCAATGCCTGCAATACCCAGTGGTTGGCTAGCTTGAAGCCAGGAGTCCGTAATTCCATTTTGTCTCCC